CAAAATCCGTTCTACAAATTCAAGCATTTACTTATTCTTAATGGTTTTACTTCTCGGGAAATGCTTTTGCTGTTTGCTCAAATTCATAGCATTTGCTAGTTTTTATTCACATGACCCAGTAACCTGACATCGTCTCAGGAGAGGCTGAATCTATCGATTGTTTTTTCCCCGTTCTTTTAGACCGCTGTGACAATGGCCATGGACTCCATACTAATCGTCGTCAGCCTGGCGGAGCTGGTGATTGCGATAGTCGCCTCGGTCTACTGCTGCCTGCTCTTGAACGAGCTGCCGCCCTCGAACACCACCACGGTAAGGAGCTGGCCGGTATTTTGAAAGTTGAACTGTACACTTCCCCCCACAGACCTTTCTTGGACTGCCGTTTTCCAAGGTCTGCTCAGACATTGACCTCTTACGCCGTAAAGATAGAAAATTATTGGCGGAATTTTGACAGTTCATTCACAGTCGATCGTCTCATCACCCCTGACAGATTGTATACGCACCGTTGCCCACTCAACCCAACCAGTTCGCGGCACCCGCACCTCCGGCGTACTATCCCGCCCAAAATGCGCCCAACCCATTGATTGGAACCCAGCCTTCGTTTGCACCTGTGCCCAGTACCGCCCAACAGCCTGCCGACCTGAAGTAGATAGCGGTAGAAAGGGTTTGTATCATAGGGTTCTTCTTCTTACTAACGTGAGCTTGAGATTTTGGAAACAAAATGGCTGTTCAGTAAGTGTGAAGTATGGGCGCAGCTACCGTATACCGACTGTCCGTGGGCACACTTGCGCGTATATCTGCCAGTTTGTTTCCAAGAGTGGGTTACACTTGTCGCAACTCGCTCTATGTAGAAAATTTTCAGTCACATGATTTTTGACGGTCAGCGTTCAATTGACACATATTTGCGCGGAAATGCGCATGCTTTCGATGTCTCCCAACATTCTAGTGTACTTGGAACTGCCAACAGAGATGCATAGATTTGAAAATGCAAGCGCATCCACGGACATGGTACACTTCCTGAAATGCCCTTTGCCCGTCATGTTACGTCACGTGAGAAACCTCTATACACGGCTCTGCTTATTATTAAGAAGCACGTCCGCCAGCATTGAAGTCTGCACCAAATTCTCTTCTCCTGCATCATGCGTTGTTGTGTGAAGTTTGAACTGCTTGAAAGTAACGTGCATGACTTAGTTTTGAAGAAACAATAACCACTAAACTTGAAGCTTGGAGTCGACGGTATACATGTAAAGTTTAAGGGGCAGGATTTTAACAGCAGTGTCAATGTCGTGTGACACCTGGTGTCTTTCTGGTGTTAAGGATAGATATGATGTCGAATTGAGGGATTGACTTAAAGAGAAGGATTGACTTTTACACTTTTCAATGCATTTTTTTTGCATAATTTTGCATAATAATGTATAATTTTTTGAACTCGGACGAGCTACTTTCCTGAATTTTATGTCCTGTAAATGCACAGTTTTATACCGTGAAAACGGTATTGAGCCACGACGTAGGAGTTCGTCAGTGTAACAAATCTGTTTTAGAGCATTCATTTTTCACTTCGTGAATCACGGTTGACCTAATACTGTCGCATGTTACACGATCAAAGTTTAGATGGTCAAATTGAATATCAGATGGCGTAAACGATTATTCTTCGTTATTGAGAAATGTTCTATAGCAGTAAAATTAATGTGAATTTTAGTTTAGTATATTCTACACACTATTTTCTTCTGAGATTTAAATTTCGCCGAGAGATTGTTCACTGGTAATGAATTCGCTTAAAGACAGAGGTACATTATATCCTCTGATCTTTTTTTTAAACCCCGAAATTAGAGAATCACTGTGGCATTCATTTTTATCAAAGATTCTTATTGAACTGCATCTATCAAAGAGGAATTTTTCATAACAGCTTCCTTTACATTTTAAGGCTCAACACAAGCCCCTTTCTTGCGGGGCAGTTTTTGAAGTTGAAGTCTTGCAATATAGATGCATGTGCGTTATCGTTCCAGACGCAGATTGCTAGAGAATTGGAAGAACTGTTTGATTGTTAAATGAACATTAACCGAAGAGGATATTGTCGCTTGAATTGTGTAGGAAGAAATCGCAGTTACCGGAGCGTATTCAGTTATGTTGGACGCAGAATTACATAAAAAGGGGATTTACACAGAGGTGCCCAGCTTTTGGTGTCGAGGGAGAGGGAATTCAAAAGCGAATGCGGCTTTAGGCTTATTTAACATGATGTTGAGGGAAAGAAATATCAAAAGCCTTGCTCACAGTCTCGACACCCCCGTTTTACTTCGTGGTGTTGTTTTCTTACGGTTTTGGCGACAATATTTGATAAATTAAATATTTTTTTTTTAAAATTTGACAAAAAAAAACACGTGGGGGGGGGATACGCCACTGTATCTACAACACCCCTGCATGTACATGTATAGAACAAAACAAAAGAAGATTTAGTTGAATACGAATGTCTTCCCCCAGCTTTGCTCGTTTCTGTCATCTCTTGGAGAGGGTTATTGGTCAAGTCATGCGGTGATGTTTTTCACATCGAGTCTGACAAATCATGGAGCTGCAGGTGCAGCCTTGACAATCAACGCCGCATGTAAAATACGCAGGTGCGGATCTGGGGAGGGTCGATCCCTCCGCTCTGATAGCTATCAGTTAACAATAATAATACTTAATTTGTCAAATGCAATAGTAATTAAAAGATGACATCTTTTTACATGTTAAAGGGAAGTGCGTCAGTAATGTAATGCATTACCTGTGCTATCCTGTCCGTTTGTCTGTAACAATTGGCAATTAAAAAAAATCTCACAGGCGTGATCCCCCGGAAAAGTCCCTGAATCCGCCAATGGTGCACCCACATGAGCATGCTCCCATCAGTAAAAGAGCGCACTCTGTGACTACAAACTCTGCTGGGTATCGTCGACTCCTCCATTTACGCAAAACGAAAATCAACAATAGACAATATTAACACTAACAACACCCCGAGTTGCTCATTGTAAGCCCTACTTTACGGTTGAAGTGTTACTGCACGCATCGTGAGACGATGAACTGAGCCGCTAACTGGATACAGAGGCTGATTGATCGGCCTTTAACAGAAATCACTCAATAGGCCTTTTACAGTCTACAGTACAGAGGCTGTCTCCTTGGTAGCGGTGTGACGCGTAGTCGGGTCACCTCTCCCGCGGAGAAATGACTTGTTGAGCTCGGGTAAACAACCACAATACAACCGCAATAGCGTCTGCTTTCACTCGGCCCTCGGTGACCTGACTATACTAGTGGAGTCGCGTATCGGAGACGGTTTGGGTTGTGGGCCTAGGTTGGGTTCGACTCTGGCGACTGCAGAGTGCCTACAGTGCCTGAAGTCGGTGGGTGTGGGTGGTATATCCTATGATCTAAGGAGAGCTGATTAGTTTGACTAGAGGGCCGATGAGTGATCGCCACGAGCTCAGACTACCAGGTAGGATTACGTGACTGGCGGCAACAGACTGCGAAACAGACAGGACGACTGATCGCCTCGACACTGGAAATGATTGTGTGTGTCAACTTGACATTTGTATCGCAACCTTAGGAATGGACTACGATCCATTTTCCCGTTGAGAAAGCCCAAAAGCCCACGTCTGGGAGGAATAACTGGGCACACCAAACGCGCAACTTTCTTCATGGTTTAAAACAAATAGCTAGTGCGTCTTTACAGTGAGGTTTCGTCACAATCCTGAACAATTGACCTGAACGCATAATAAACACGCCGACCCGCGCGCGTTTGCACTTGGCAACTGGTCATCAATGCGCACGTTACATATTTCAGCGAGTGGCCAGGAAAACATGTTCTCGCACTGCTTTTCTTAACACTGGACGTGCACCAAAACAAAGGCAACGAGCCTCGGCTGGCAAACAGTGTACAACATCTGCTAAAAATCACTCAGAGGAGACTGGAATTCAGGCCAGGTGAGGAATAGGAATCAGTTCGATTTTTGAGCTCAGTGATTTCCTGTTTGTCCGATTTGAGATGGTCTGAGGTATATATTTTTTTGCATTTGATTTATTTATTTCTGATGACCAACAGCGGTTACCCGACACTTACAGGCATCCATGAGAAATAAATAAAATCTCTGAATTAAATAATGTACAATAAATAAATTCTACAAATAACCACAAAAATAATAAAAATTAAGACACATCCTAAACCTTGAAAGTCTTCAAACACCAGTACGAGGCTGAGGAAGAGTGGAGACACGGCAGAGTTATTCACAACGTTTTGTTTTTCGGTCAAATTTTAGTTGTGACTTTATCTTCTTTCCGAATTTCTGTCTTTGTTGTTTAACCTATATTTCAGATGATTTCATCTAAAGTCTCCATTCCCAAGTAACTTATAAGACTCATTTGCCTATCGGATTAATAACTAATTGGGGTTTTGACGTTTTCATTATCCAAACATTGGCCAGGAATATCCCCCCGATTTAAGAACAAACCGAAACTAAAACAGATGAAGAATTCAACCCCTCTCAAAGAGCCCCCTTAATTGCTGCGATTGCCCTCACCAAAGACCAACACATGTCAAGGGTATGAGTAATAATTACACGTTTAGGTTTTTCTCACTGACAAAATTCTCAGACAGAAATGTAGGCATAAGGCGTGGTGTTGCGCAAACGACAGCTTTACCTGTGCAGATGAGAAAAGAGTGGATTTCCCCATGGCCGCGCCTACCAATCGATCAAGCCTCCAGTGAATAACGAAGAGCTTAATGTAATACCGGTAGCCTGGCTGGAATTTCAGTAGAGTTCTAATGTTATTCATTAAAATTTCATGGGTTATGGCAGACATGCGCACTGGTAATGAAAGGTTGACGCATGGCACATACGTAGCCATCGTTGCCAATTATGCGCTGCGTTCTATGAGCAGAAAATTAGCTCTCGTTTCTCCAGTTAGATTCTCTACGATTTACTTTGATATTAAGACATTTATATTTTTCCATCGTATTTATTGAACACCCTTTAAAACCGTCAAAAACTTAAAACAAACAAAAGTACACACGTTTGTACGGAAAATTGTCGCTGCAAATGTGGCCTGTTTACATTCTTGTGCGTGATTTCAGTTGTGGCGCAGAAACACCTGCTCTTGCAACTCACACGTCACTTTGGAAAAATGAAATTTAGAATGCTCTTCCCTAGAGGGCGTTCAGAAAATAACAGATTCCCTTTTCCACCAAATCCATTAAAGCCTTCCTTAGAGGCCTGGTTTGATTCGTTTATTCCAGGAAATAATTGGGCAAAGGCTTTTATAATATGGAATGAACTAATTGATTGCACGGATGTTTTGATGAATGATAGGTTGTTTGTTAGTACTATACAACCACTATCGTTGGCACGACGGGTTTGGAGGTGTGTGTTAGCAGGTGTGTTTACTGAGAGAGAAAAGACATATGATAAGAGAGTAATATAGTGTGACTAATTTCTATTGGCTTTTATTTTGTTTTTTACTTTATAAACACGTGTTACATGGGCATTTTTGACTTACACAAAGCAAACCAATACATTAATGATACAATTATTGTAAAGCCAACATTTAATACACACAATCTGCTGCCCTTTCCATAAAGTGTAGTTCTCCGTGGTTTTATTTTGGGTTATTTTTTTCTTCTCCGTCTTTCATGCTATTCAGAGGTCGTTGGCGTGCAGTTTATGGCGTGACATTCCCAGTCGTAGAGCGGTACGGTATCATGGGTTGTTGCGGTGGCGACAACCGCGTAAGACCGTTCAAGGTAAGACACTCGAAATCCCTCATTATGTTCCGAGTACTACCCCCGAGACGTCACTCTATACTCAATAGGCTAAAGCGGAGATTATTTTCTTCGAATCTGCACTTTTGTAAAGAATCTACAGTAAACTTGTAAAGTACGAATTCATATACAGGCATTATAGTTGAACAGTTGAAGTCCAGTCTTTCGGGTAAAATGTACAAGTTCCGGGCGTTTGTAAAATATACTTTCAAACATTTTTAATGGCTGAAATTAACTTTGTTTACATAACACGTAAATGACAGCGTTGGTTCACAATGAAAATAGCAAAAATTCAAAAGAAGAAAATATGCCTTGCAGCAAAGAGCAGCTCCCCGTAGAACTGCTTTTCCAAAGTAAATCAGTTTAAGATTCCTCCGTTAAATTTAAGATTTTTTTCGCGTACATTTCTGCCATTTTCAATCAATATTGTGACTTTTTTATATTTTATATATGTGCCATTTATTTTTCATTTTGCATCTCTCTTTATTTTTTTTCTGTGATGATTTCAAACCCTTTTTTATTTACATGTAAGTTGAGTGGTATTAAGCATTCCACTTGTCATTTTGGTTTGGGACTGTTTTCAGCTCTTCTTGGTTTCATCTGTATGTATTGTTCACATTTTTAATATTTTATTTATTCAATACAAATCTTGGCTTGTATTTTGCATTTTAAAACTTTGCTTCGAAACGAGGTTCAACGAACTTCACTTTTTTCCTTTGATTTTATCGCTCATTTCACTTTGTAGATTGTTAAATCGTCAAATCTAATATGAGCCGCCATTAACTTCAATGTTATCATAAATTACAACTTTAAAGTAACGCTCCGTAAACAAAGGACAATCAAAAATAAGTTTAAATAACGGATAAATAACTGAATTAATCAGACTGAATGCAAGAACCTTACCTCTCAGTACTTCGTGTACAGTTCCAGTGCTACTATTCCAAACGAAACACTTCCACGCTGTGAGCGCCTCGATGTATATCCATGTAACAAAAGTAACAAGTTTAGAGATCATTTTGAGTGATCGGTAAAATGGTTCCAGATCAAGACTCTTGTCCAAATTCCTCTTGGTATCACAATCCTCGATACCATACAGAACAGTCACATCGGCAGCATGAAGTAATTGTTTTTACAAAGTCTAGCATAGGTTTCTGTAGTTGTAACATACACGTATGACTCCGTTTGGATATAAGAGCCAATGAAGAGAGCGTGCAATCCACCTACATGACTGCTGACTGCATGAGTAACAATATTGCACGTGTTGATAAATAGAACAAAAGTTGTGCACTCAAGCGAGCGGTTAACAACTAGACCCAGAGAGGCGGCCAGTTTTGCGTACTGCAGTAACAGACCCTCCTCGTGGCGCATGGCTCGAGGCATTAGTATGAATCAACACTTTTTGTTCCCTTGGTTTCAGGACAGTGGTTGTTGCGGCGACGTGAAGTCAGAGAATAGCCTTGGGTCTGTAGGCTTCACTCGCCCATTCTTTCAGTGCGCAAAGCTACATTCCTCGTCCATTCTCTCGGACAGAATCAATGCGAGTTAAATTTGAATAAAATCTGGTACACTGAGTTCTTTAAATTCACATGAACATAACAATTTGAATTCTCCATACTTAGAGACAGTGTTCCTATATCTCGTCATTCGGGGCAAGCCTTCGCTTATATTTACATAACAGACGCCCTGCACAAAATACGCCATTTGGGGGGAGCGGGTTGCTTTGTATCAATGAATGAGGCCCGGGTTCGAGTCCTGGCTTGGCCCAGGCTTTAAGAGCTTTGGTTTCCAGTCCTCTCACAGGATTCTCGCTCTCGCAGATTTTTCAAAGTTTCTCCGGTTTCCTCCTGCCTCTAAAACTTGGACCTTCCTCCTAAATGCCTATTAGTAATGTGATGCTGATTAATAAAGGTTATGAATAAACGTACAGTTATTTTTTTTTCGCAAATAGCCTGAGTAGCTGGAAGTGCCATTCAAACAAAACAGTAAGAACAACAATACACTGTTTTCAATGGATACGAATTAAGGGCGCAAAGGAACCAGTCTATTCCAGAAAAGCCGGTATATGCTNTTCTCCGTCTCATACCTTGCTTGGTATATGCAAAAGCTTGCCCCGAGTCACGAGGCACAGCAACAGTGCCTTCAGTCTGTGAAATTGGTATGCTCATGTTCAATCCGATAATTCAGTGTACCAGATTTTTTTTTCAAATTTGTCTCCCAAAAGATACTCTGGTTGCGATAGTCATGTTTGCTTTGTTTAAAATTAAATGAATTGAGTTGACATGACAGACTAGTGAGATGGAGATATAATGAACCATACTTTAACATACTTAATCCTCATTCTGGTTCATCCCTTCTTTGCTGAGTATCGAAACGACACGAATTACAGAGTAATAAGTCTTTTTATTCACAAATCAAAAGTAACTTAGATTTCTACACGAGGTCATTGCAGCTTTGAAAATTAGCGTAGGCCTAGTGGATTTCGAGTCGTCCAGTCCCTGTGCAGCCCCTTGAATCCGGTAATCCTATGTTGTGCCTGGATTCCTGATTTTTGGCTGATTATTGAAACAGAAAAGGCGGCTCAATGAATCTGTCATCATGGTTCACTTCACATACGATCGTATCATAGAGCGGCTTTTCCCCAGCTGTTTAGGAAGTATAAAAACACGACTTCTGCATGCTGAGGCCTGCACACTTTGTTTACGCGTGTGCCTTGTCTGTGGTGCTCAACGTGGACCGTGGGCTCTCACTGGGGGGCTGGAAAGTTCAAGGGAGATTGCACACGTCAACAGAGTGTGACGTTGTCAGTGCGTGGCCCATTGAGTGCAGAACTGCAGAAGAACAATTCTACGCATGCTCTGAACACGTTGGTGTAAGGCCCAAACCTACAACTAAATATTAAACTCACCCCGGATAAAGTACATCTTTGGAAATTCTACATATGTTGCAACCTTTGTGCAGCATCTTCTGTAAATATTCTGAATTTGGCGGTTGACAAGCACGGACTGGTCATTTGAATGGACTGGTATGAAGTCTAACCGCAAGCTCGTTGGCACCTGTGACGAATTGATTGGGGACGTCTTTATGTAATTGCGCTGTGCTCTGTCGTATCCCATTAGTCTAATGTGCATATGATGTATGCATCAGGTTGCAATCATCTACAGGCCTATCTGCCGTCAGCACTGCACCGCACCTGACAACGGCATTTAAGCAGAGTGCAGTGGTTTCAGTAGCAATAATCCCTCAAGGCATAAAAGTAACATAATTGGTTTAGGTAAACCAAACATTTTGAAGTCGCCCGATTTGAGCTCTCTCTGGCCTTGTTTTTGCTTTTTTGTGATTTCCCTGTCCTGCACTTAATTTTCCCCCTCATTGACCGTGAAGTCAAGTCTTAATTACAATGTGTGATTAAATCACATGCTTAGACGGTATATTGTGTTCAGTTCAAACTCCAAAACCGATTTGGAAACAAGTGAATCGATAACAATTGTGTGAGTGCTTTTTTCATTGTTATATCGCTTTAATACCTTTTTCGGTGACGTCAATAATTTGATGGCATGTACGTGTATTGTGATGTAACCGTCACCTGGCGTCGTTGGATTTTTTGAAATTATACAGTGACGTAACAGAAACTTCTTTGCAGGCCATTGTTTCTTTACACACGCCCTATCATCAAAACGCGCGCGCTTCGAACACAAACCATGGAAACAAAACGCGCATTATAGAAACGGATCACGCATACAAAACTTTCGCATCCCACACTAAGATCTCTGGCTCGACATTAAGCTTAAACCAATGCGCCGGTGGCCTTGAGGATGTGACGGTGGCTTTACGCTTGCGCTGTTTGAGAGAAGGACGCAGAGAAGGGATGAGCATAAAATATTCCACGACAAGTCCAAATGATGATCAAAAGATTTCAGAGAAAGCGGAGAAGGCCAACATGAACGAAGCCAGTCTTGCGGTGGTATGCATTACTTTATTTCCAGATGACGATACAAGAGACATACCAATGAATAATATAAAATAACAGTCTTCTATCCTCTGATTTTCCACCGTCAAGTGCAATAGGGACTGTTGAACTTCATGTTCTGGAGCTGAAACCTGCTTGGAATCGACAATTAAAAAAACAGAAACAAGTCCTGCTGTGTTGTGTCCAGTAGACCCTAGTGCCTATAGAGGCTTTGCGTGGTAGCCATCTTGCTGGGCAGTGCTTTTGTTCCTCAGTGAAGCCTCCTTTGTTCATACCCTGTGGAACAAGAGCACTGGCCTGCGAGATGGCAGCCACGCAAACCCTCTATAGCACGTTGCGCATGTACATGTATACTCAAGGAGACATGTCCGCACAGTGAGACAAAAGCATGTTAATCTACAGCTGGTCATAATTCTGATACAAAAATCTTGTCTTCCCGAGATCCATCGAGTGGATGGCGACAATGATAACGAATTCCAACATTCTGCCCTCCGATATGCCATCGTTGAGCGGCATTGAGCGGCAGGGGAGTCAGCTGTTTCTTTCCTCGCCTTCCACCTCTGGGGGTCTGGGTTCGATTCCAGCTCGGTCCACATGTGGATTGGGTTTTCACTACCTGAATCCGTGGGTGTTCCCCGAAACATTTATCTGGAGGTTCTCCTCCCACCTCTAAAACTGAGCAGATTTTCTTCAGTGTCTTTTTACCTCATTATCATCCTGTAATTGGCGCTAAATGCGCTGTTGGATGATCAGATATAAANCTTGCTGGCTATAAACGGCTCATCTGTCTTCCACGGCCCATCAGCTGTTGCTTCCCCCAGCAGAGAAATGTCAAATGCTTTTCGAAAGCCTGTGATTTTTTTGAACAGATTTTGATGGATTTGTACGGTGGACAAATTCCATCAAGCCCCATCAACACTGGGTGCTCTGTGCACATGTTCAGAGCGGGAATCGTTCATTAGGGTTAATATACAGTACCTGCTGCAAACAATAGTTGCCGTCTTAGCGGCATGGAAACCAATCTTCCGCTTTGGAGACCAAATCCTTGTTCTTTCTAGGGGCATCACAAAATAATGTTCAAATGTGGCTCAATTTTGTTCTTGCTTAGTCCTGCAAAATTCTCCAAAACCACATTGCTGCATATCGGAAGGGTGGAGGATTGTTGAAATTGACGTAACCTTCAATTATAATTTTGGCCGTGATTTGGTTCATACGTAGATCTGTGTAATTTCTTATCATGAATTGTTGCAGGATGACACAGTGGAAGTAGTTGATGATGGCTTTGACGGCCCCCTTGACGACCGCAGCTGCCGTGACGTGATCTGTCTTATTCTCTTCTTGGCCTTCTGGGTTGGAATGGTAAATAAAGATAACAATTCCCCAGCAAAGAACAAACGGTTGTAACGCTGGCCAATGCAAAATTTGCCAACAATTTGAATGGCTCGTGGAAAAACTGTGACACTGGCAAACAGGGGTCCAAGTTTTACAAGGCGCTCACTTAAAACAATTTAAATAATGAATTCTTTTCTAAGTATACGATGCACTAGAAGCGGTTTAATGTGTGAAAAGAATCGAAGATAATTATCTGCGTTTCACGTCTTAATTCATTATGGAAAAGTCCAAGGACATAATTTGACGCCTGTGGAATGATCTTTGACATTGAATGACGAGCAGCGTCAAGTTTTCCTAGACCAGGTCCGAATAAGAATGCATCGTGGTGTCGTGGTTATACCAAGACCCCTCTACATAGACAAAAATTATGGAAGGTCGCGTCAAGAACTTCATGTCCGGACGATTTCTTCCGTCATTCTGGTCTCCAGGGTTACGTTGCCGTGGTGTCACTCCTCGACGGCCAGCCCGAACGGATCATCTACGGCGCCGATAGCTACGGGAACGTCTGCGGCAAGAGCAACACTGCGATCGCCGGGGTCAACATGTCGGGACAAAATCTGATCGATAAACCGTAATGCACCTGTTCCTTTGAGTATTAAAGTTTGTAATGTTTATTGAGAAAGAATTGATGCGCAATGTAATTTACTTAAATTTAAAAGGGGAATAATTCCTTTTCCTGGGCATCCAAAACCAGAAAACTGCTGTTTTCCCTTTTCAGGACTGATCGTCCACTCAATGAACTGATGGCCTTTTGACTTTATTTTCGCAGATGTGTTTTTTCTCGAACATTATCGAAATTGCGTTTAGGAGGGTTTATTAGGAGCGATCTATTTCTTTAATCCATCTTCTAAAGGTATGTGTTCACTTTCAACCCGGAAGCCGTTGCAAACCCGACCACTACAACCAAGTTACTTTGTGTGTCGGAGTGCCCGGATGTTGTCCTCCTGACTAAAAACGACCTCGTTGAGCTGGCCCTGAACAGGTCCATCTTCCTGTGCGATTACAACCTGGCGGCTGAGGACTACGCCGCGGCCGAGCAAGGCGCCCTGGCCGCTTGCCCATCGACGCCCGTGGACGTCAGGTGAGACAGAGTATGCATCGACCTTTTGCGGGCTGAATTAAGTAGAAAGTATGTACAACATTCTGGATTAATGCCAGGTATTAATTTTTTCCCATGTAAAACAATCTCTCTGTTCCTTGTTCTGCTTGATGAACAGCACTCCGATTTTCAATCGTTGTATCCCGTCAACTGCCGTTGGTATCGCGTCTTCCTTGTTAGACGCCGAATGGTTAAAGGTAAGGCATTTCCAGGAGGTCTGACTGCTTATAATAACCCGAGTCAGTAGACAGGTGTTCACCTGTTATTTTGATTACATGTACTACATTGATTGAATCAATTAAGTTAAAGTTGATAATCGAAATTATCCATGATTCGGGTATAGGGGCTTATTACCTGATATGGCTTTCTATGGACAGGAACTTTATCCTAAGGGATGCTATGCATTGTGACAGACTAATAGTGCAATACGTATTCCTTGTACCGTAAAATTTAACTATGATTTCCTAGGAGAGTGAGAAGTTACAACAAATAAAGGAAATGAACTTTCATTTTTGCCATTCCAGAGAGCTGTGGCGGATGTTGAAAATTCATGGCGCGAAATACTCTACCTTTGTTTAATTTCCTTTGGTAAGGCTCTTATTTCCCTTATGCTTTGCTTTTCCCCCTTATCTCTCTTACGAACCTCGAGTGTTAGGAAAAAGTCGCCTTTATCTATCGAATGTTTCCGTGATTGTACCCTATGGGCGACCTTGAGACGCTGGTGGCAGGAGACAAGCCGGTCCCTTTTCATGGTCATAGGCTGTGTCCGAAACGGGCTTCCAGAGCTACGGCTAGGCCTATTGTCTACGCGTCTCCACTCATTTCCAATGGAGCGAAGACCTAGACGTAGGTCTAGACAACAGATTCGGATGCAGCCACAGTACTGCGTGTGATCAGAACTATGTACGCATGCTCAGAACAACGCGCGCAAGCTCAGAACCGGTAAAAAGAACCAGTATGTTCGCCGCCACCAAGCTTCTCAAAATTTCCCATTGGATATTCACTTTTTTGCGTGAATCCCAACGCGGTGTTCTGACCCAGCTCCCCCCTCCCCGTTCTACAGGTTTGGCCATAGCAGTGCTGATCTTGCTGCGGTTTTTCGCGGGTGTCCTTATCTGGACCACGGTGTTTGTCTTCGTGTTCGGGAGCCTGGGCGGGACCGGGTACCTGTGGTACCGATGGTGGCAGGAGAAATCAGTGCTCGATGCGCTGCCAGCTGACGGTGAGTTAGGCCGTGTCCGAAACGGGCTTCCAGAGCTACGGCTAGGTCAATTGACTGCGCGTCTCCACACATTTCTAATGGAGCGAAGACCTAGACCTAGCTCTAGACAACAGATTCGGATGCAGCCTTAGTGGAGGTTTGATGTGTGCGTTTTATGGTATGCATAGCTACAGGGGATATCGAATAACAGAACAACACCGGAGGACAAGAGGTCTTGGTAATCTGTCCTCGGTTGTGTACGATTATATGACTCATACAAGAAATCAGAGGAAGATTCAGCGGACTTTGTTGGTAAGCCGAATCTGTCCGTTGTGCACAAAATCAGACATTGGGACCGTTTCGCATTGATTTGCGGCGTGATGTTGGAAAGACGGACGATTCACAATAGTGGGCCTCCAAGAGTTTGCATTTCGTTGACCAATCGAAATTGGTGCGCGAAATTTGCAGTGCGCGGGCAAAGTGAGGGTTTCATCACTGCGCAGACTCTCATTTGTTGCTCGTCAAAAGACTTACAGACAAGTCCTGAGAGATATATGTGATCGCATACAGTACGCGCTTTGCCTAACTGTGTATGATGGTTTCTGCTTTTCAGCTGCGAAGGATGATCAAGAGCACACCGTCAAAACCATGTTGACCTACGCTGGGATCGCCACTGGAGTCACGGTGAGCCACCTGGCCTGCTTAAAGATTTGCTCCAGAAAATTTATGTTCCTTGCATTTTTTTTTAATCTGGGCAAAATTGGATTTCCTCAACCTGATTGATATTTCCAACTTTTTTAAATGCAAGGCAACGAATCAAAACCTCTGTTTACATTCAATTTAACCCTTCTCAGCATCTTTCCCCTAGGTCATTCTACTGTTGGTACTGCTCGTCATGCGTAAGCGCATTGCCCTCGTGGTGGCATTGTTCAAGGAAGCTGGCAAGGCAATCGCATGTATACCGTTCCTACTACTTCAACCCATCTGGGTAAGTTGCGATTATACCTCTTGCGAAATAATGATAATAATAATAACAGTTCTTGACTATAGCGCCAAATCCACCTGAATTGACGCTCTGGGCGCTTTACATACAAAAAATCAGAATGATTATAACAAAGTAAAACTTAGATAAAAAATTACCAATTTAAAATCGACTTAAACCAATAAGAAACTTTAACAGTCTTAAATACACAAGTTAAGCCAACCAGGAATAAAATATTAATCTTAATTTTAGATGTTACACGTGAAAGGTACATGTTCGAATATGTTTGCCATTTGAGAACAGTACTCCGGAAATTGACCTCGCAACATCAAAGAACGATTCAGGAAAATGGACGCTGAATATGCTCCTTGCACCGAAATATCTGAGAGGTTTTCATGGAGGTTCGACTTTTATATCCCTTTGACAGTCTCGTCTTTGTATTGCAGATATAGAAAGAGTGGCCCCAAAGACTTGCTTGAGCCAGTTCGGTATTCCAACAGCGCATGCCCAACATGAAGCGTGTCCGAGGTCATCCGGACGCGCGTGCAACGTCTGCCCTATCGGCGCAGCTCTACGCCTACACGCGCGCGTGCTTGTTCCCGGATGACCTTGCTTTCTTGAAATACCGAACTGTCTTATTGGAGGTTTTATTTGTGTTTTTAATGTAGACGATTCTTGCCATGGTGGTTCTGTGCGCCTACTGGGGCTTCGTGTATTTGTACCTCGTGACGGCTGGCAAACCTGAACTTGACAGCGAGACCGGTTTTGTCATATACAAAGCCGACGCATTGGGACCGGTAAGTAGTTTATGCATGGAATAATTCAAATCCAGGGTTTTTTTTAAATTTCGTTTTGTGCCAAAGCTCTGCTGTCGTAGACACGTGATTGCTTTGCGCCCCTACATCGTGCAAACGTAGACGGACAAATATGCGACCCGTACAAGAAATTGGCGAATGTGGCGTAGCTTCATAGCCACCGTAGTTAATAGCCAACATGACCACCAACGTTTCTGAAAGTCCTCTGGATTTCTCTCCCCACAGTACATGTGGTGGTACCATCTCTTCGGCCTTCTTTGGGGCTCCCAGTTCCTGGTCGCCTGTCAACAGTGCGCCATAGCGGGCGCTGTGGCAGCCTGGTTCTTTGCTCGGGACAAGAGCCAACTCAGGTGGCCCATCCTCCAATCTATCAAGCGCATCATCAGGTGCACCGATATTATTATATTTCGCACTAGTGCCTCTTGTGCGGGTTTGGCTTTCGGGGTCCGGCCATGTGATTACAGGCAGCTGACTTAAGAGACTAATTATCTGGGCATATCGGTACATATTTTGGGGGGAAGGAACTTGATTGTGATTGGCAAAATGATCAAGGAGGCGAAGACGAAGCCCAACCGGAGATTAAACTGGCTGGCATATGGGAAATGGCCGACATTCACCTGAAAATTTGAGAACATAGGGGTATAGCGCCCTCAAAGGCATCGGAAAGCCACTCCATGTGAAGGTGTCGTTGTGTGACGGTCAGCTTTTCCCCACCATATTGGGAGCATTATGACGGACGGTCAACAGAGGGACTTACAAAATGATGACAAAGTAAACAAACAAAAAAAAAAAGAGAGGAAGGGAAACCTCTCGAACAAAATCAAAACAGTGTCAAGTTTGTGTCAAGGAGAAAGGCAATGTGACAAGCATTGTTAGGAATACCATGGAAAATACATGACTAACATGTCTCCTTTGTTATCCCTACAGGTATCATCTGGGATCTCTAGCCTTTGGTTCCCTCATTATTGCACTGGTCATGCTGGCTCGCATCATACTCGGCTATATTCAATCCAGGTGTGTATAACACTGGAAGCCCTTTTGGTAATCGAAGGATTTGAGAGAAGCAGCGTTGTGGCATTAGAAGAAGCTGCATGTATAATACACTTATCTCGGTTAAATGCGTAGAACTAATAGTGCACGTCTTTACTTGGGCGCAAGTCGTCTGTCACGCCCATAGAACTATATATAGAGAGAGAGCGAGACCTCTGTGGTCAAACCCTGATTTCTTGTCACTGTCGACTGTACTGGCTAATACGGAGTCCGCGCAGTGACATCATTTTTGCCATCCTGGTTTAATAAGGACGTGGAACTGACAGGAGGCGTCGATACTCTATTCCAAAATATAGTGCCAGATTCGACAGAACGCTTACTTGCACCTTCAGTTAATTATACCAGATTCCTTTCATGCTCTCCCCACAGGCTCCGGCATTCGCAGAGCGATATTGTAGCATACATCTTAAAGTGCCTTCAGTGTTGTCTGTGGCTGTTTGAAAAAGTTCTCCGCTACATCAACAGAAATGCCTATATCGAAATCGGTATGGTCAAAATATATTGATATATTTAAAAAGTAGGCCTATACCTTACGTATTCAACAACTGTAGGCATTGATACATTAATAAGTGTACATTCTTAACAATTACCTTGAACGTCAAGGAATATTATTCACATATTTTGAAATATGTTTTGGCACTGTGGCTTTCATTTTCAAGTTTTTGTGTGCCTTGTTGCCAAGGCTTAAAAAACAAATAATCCAAAGTTCGAAAGAGCGCGAACGTCTCACTTCTTTCAGCACGTGATTTCAAAGTCATGGTTGCTTATGAAAATCTAATGCCCCCCAGGCGTGTTTTTACTGATTTTTTTTTACCACCCGGTACAGCAATTTACGGTTACAGTTTCTGCAAGGCTGCCCGGAAGGCTTTCACCCTCATCGTGTCCAACGCCCTGCGCGTGGCCGCCATCAACTCCGTGGGGGATTTTGTGCTCCTGCTCGGCAAGGCGACGGTGGTGGCTGCGGTGGTGGTTATCGGTATGCAACTCTTAAAGGTCAGTCGGTTTAAAAGCATTACAAAGACTGTGAAATGTAATACATGAATTGTGAATTAAAAACCATCTTTATCTTGTTTCAAAACTAAATTCGTGATGACCTACATATGTGAGCGGTTGTTATACGATTTTTCCAGATAAATATGTCAATGATTCAAAGCGGCGTAGTAAAGGAAATGTCAAGGGTCATTTCCCATGCCCCGCCCCTAAGGAAGAAGAAAAAAAATTATATCCGACTCCGACAAGCTCAGTGGTCGAGTGGTTAATTAAGATGTCTGCACTAGTAAGCAGGAGGTCATGGGTTCGAGTCCCACCCGAGTAAGCTTGTGAAGTGTTTCACAAGCCCTCGGGCAAATACTGAGTTTACAGTATCGTGAATGCACGGTGGTGTGAAGTGATAAACATGTTATTAAAATTGATAAGCAAAGAAAAGAATGACGCAAACGTCACGCTTTTCAACTGATCTTTCACGTGACGTCAATATCAGGGGTGTGGGGGGGGTATCCCCTCATTATCTATTCTTTTTTCAAGACGACACTCCCCTTCCCAGCGTGTCTGGGTGGGTGAACTAGGCACGTGTAGCATGACAAAACGCCTTGGTTCGCGCAAGAAGACCACCGTTGGTTGCACGAAATGAAGAGTTTCTTTGAAAACAAGACATCCTTACTTTTTATTGCCAACAAATGTCAGCTTGAGTTCCTTTCGTAGTTCAATGCCATGTGTTCGTTTACATTGCAGGATAAGGCTGACGTTCATTATGACTTTGTGCCGATCACGTTGGCCGCCATCTTCGCCTTCCTCCTCAGTCATATATTCCTGTCGGTGTATGAGGTACTTTCACTTTCAAAGTAGACTCAATTTCCATGAAACAGAATGATTTCATGCGTTAGACCCTTGCGGACATTCTCTTGATTTCACATGAATTTGCAGTATAGAGTACACGTCAAACACAGCAGTTGAAACACTATTTCGATGTATCAGCTAAAACAAATTAATCGTTTTGGATTCTCATATTTACCTTGATTCGGTGGATGTTCATATGCTTTTGAAATCTTACAATTATTACAATGAGCAAATTTGAACTCAGTTATTGTTTTTTGGCAGTAGCACCGATGTTCCAAAATGGACCTGTGATTCTTTTTGTTGTAGATGGCCATTGACACGTTGTTCCTGTGTTTCTGTGAGGACTGTGAGCGGAATGATGGCATCACTAGGCCGTATTACATGAGCAAGGACCTCATGGTAACAAGGGGAATTTCATGCTGCTTCGCTTCGCTCACTCGCATGAAAAACAGTGTGATTCTATTGAATGAACACTGAACGGAGCAACACAGAAAACAAGGAATACAGCGTGGGAGAGGGGGTTTCACAATGCAGTAATACTGAACAAAGACAAAGTAAAAATAGAGATGTGTGGATAAAGGAGCAGTGTTTACCTGTAACGTACTGTTAATGTTAGCAGGATTAGGGATGGGAGCTTGAAATCAGACGGAGCCTCGGAGTCCTTCAACTTCTAGATCTCTCTCTGGCTCTCTCTTTGTCTCCCAGAGATTCATGTTTCACAGGTGCCTCGAGTTGAGAAGCATCGAAGGTTGTCTCGCATGCAAATGACTGTTATTTAAGTGTTGTCTGAAGACTAGCTAGCTTCAGAACCAACAAGGCTGCACTGGGTGGCCATAGTGCCATAAGCTGACGAAAAAGAGTCAGTTCTTGAAGCCTTGGGCTAAACTTTTGCCTTTTGCATCCTTCATTTTAACATCGCTGGCTTAAAAATGGATTACTTGCATAATTCTGGAGAAGACGAATAATCCAAGATCTATCGTAATAAGTTCATGCAACAGAGATGCAAGAGCCCAGAGCGATGTGCAAGCAGAAGCACTCGGCGCAAGTGAAGACCCTGGACGGTTTTCCGTTACTCAGAAAGCTCTTTATATGGAGACACACATCAGCGACTCCATTGAATAGGAATAGGACACATGAACGCAGCATGGGGAACACACCCACATTCCAAGGATGCTTTCATTCGTTCGTCGCTCATTCAACCGAAAGAAACTCAACATTATTGATAGGGTCTTCCTAAAAGCAGAATGATATATCTTCTGAGAATAGCACGCTGGTGTGACTCGTCGCTGTTGCTTTCTTGTCTATTGCGCAACATTGTTGTCATGAATATGCATGCTGCTATTTTTAGCTCAAATCCATGTTTATGCTCTTGTAGTTCGATTTTCCCTCAGAAAAATTCACGCGGACGACAGTTGTCAGATTTTCCTTTGCTTGTAGGGTGGTTTGTTTGCATTTTAAAAGCCAACTTAAAGCATAGGCTGTAATCTAGGAGTTGGAGTAAATATGTTTGTTACAAAAGATTATCGAATGAAATTGTTGCTTGCATTTTTTTACACATTTTCATATTCGAATATGAATATGAATACATATATATGAATATGTAAAAGCTTCTGTGCGTATGCAGTTTTGAAAGATCACGCTCACACTTCATGCACTTTGATCACTTTTTATAATAGACACGCTCAATTCGGCCCTAACACAAAGTAAATTTGATCCAAGGGTTAATTTAAGACTTTTTGTTGGTTTCCCTTTCAGACCTTTGTCGACAATGCAAGAAAGGCTCAAGACATGAAGGACATCAAACGACAGGCCAAGCGAGCCGCTGCTCAGCAAGCCGCCGACAACATATAGACTATAACTTGCTTCCGATCATTCCAATTTGTTTCGGGATTTGAATTTCTCCGATTTGCATTTGCTGGACTTACCAACAAGTTTGAAGACTATACCTATCAAAACGTAGGCCTATATTCAAAATGTTCCATGCTGCGTTCTGCCCACTGCTTCATATATTTATTTGTTGCTTGCCGTGTAAGATCATCCCATATATGTAAATATGCAGTTTTTATACAATGAAATATCTCGTTTGAGGGTGACAGGTAACACAATCTTTGACTTAAATCTTTTTATACGAAAATATATTAAAACGTAATGTTTAATTTCATGGTTACTTTTGCAATTATCATTATAAACTCGCATGAAAATGAATATATAAACGACTTGCCTTCTCAGCAGAAAAAAAAAAACAAAACAAAATCAAATTTATGCAAGGGAACGCTAAAGATAAATCCTTCGATGAAAAAGAGCAAGAGACATTGGCATACGTTTCAGCGGTACAGAAAATATCACAGTTTTAAAAAAGAATTGTCCAAATTTATAGCGTATAATAATAACAACGCAAGAATTCCCCTCATTATATACTGTTGTAAGGAACCTCGTGAGGGCGCAATAAAAGTTGACAATAACGTGGGAACTAGGCCACTAGTACACGATTTAAGACTGGTTTTGAATTCAATTAATTCAGTTTGAACAAATCAGTTTGAGCACTCCTTGCAACTCCATGCCATTGCCGAGATGCACGTCTTTGGGATTGCAAGAGGCATCGACAAAGTGCGTGCGTATTTGGGTCTGTATCGAACACCATCCCCTTAACCTCAAAGCTCACCAACAGTGCCACACACTCTACAGCAAACGAGTGTCTGGTTTCTAGACGTCGAGCGTAAGTGATAAATAAGCTGGTGAAAATAAAACAACAAGCATCATACCATGGTACCGTAATCCTGAAGTGCCATAATGTATACATTTTCCAGAAGTGAAGAATATTTTTTTAAAGTTCGTTTTTAGGAAGTATATTTTTTCAATTTCGTTTTTATGAAATACGGTTTTCCAAGTTCGATTTTAGGAGTTTTTAAAATTCGTTTATATTTTAAATAGTAAAAACTTATAAAGTATATAGTCATATTTTAAAAGTATTTGTTTTTTTAGGAATAAATTGGCACCTGACAATGTATATCCCCTGAAAATTAACTTGGAAAAAATATATCTTATAACAAAGAACCCTCATTAAAATATATCTCGTAAAAACGATTTGTTACAAAAAATAGAAAGAATATTTTTTAAAATATAGATCTCATCCGAACGAACTGAAAAATGTATGTCTCGAACAAACGAACTTTGGAAAAGACTGTATTTTGTAAAATCGGGGTCAGAAAAATATAATTTTTTTCAAATCGAACTTCGAAAAAATGTCCTTCCACTTTTTGAAAATATATACTCACCACAGGGATTTTGTACAATGGTGCCAGGCCAGTAATCTGTATTTTTCGAACTTACCCTGATTAGTGAAATTTCGCAATTCAGGCACTTGAAAAGTCTGGAGATAAGCTCTGAAAATCTAAGGTGATAAATGAGCAAATCTACCTACGTGTGAAAGAAGGGGAGAAGGCAGAGGGAAGATTGGAAGGAGGGCGTAGCAGTACCGTCACCAGCGAAGTTTAGACACGAACTGGGGAGCATGTTTGGCCCGTATAAACGACGAGTGCTTCCTCGGACGACGAGGCTGAAACCAGATCAACTACCGCCATTTCGCCGCTCGCAGCTTCCCGGGCGGCAAAGCCGGTTTCTCTAGGCATGCTGGTCCTGCGGTCTGACTTAGTCGATCTACTACACTGGATGTCGTCCTTGGAACCCTGCCAGGCTGCCCTGCCTAACCGCTGCAGTTCCAGGTCAACTTCTGCCGCGTCTCTGCTGTCTGACCTGTGACTGGTCAGGTGTCCACGGAGCGCCGGCGCAAAATCGACGGCTTCATTTTCCAGGTTGATCAGGCAGGGTAAGTGCGCCCTTTGCGCCGCAAATAGATGCTCTTCCCGTGGTAAACGATTCTCTGCATCTCGTGTGGACGGAATCCCAGTGTATGTACTCGGCTCAACCCTGTTGGGTTTGATCAATCGCCGTACAGACCCTAAAAGGTGAAGCACCGTCTTCAGTTTACCTGTATTACTCTTTGGAGCCCCGCTGTCATCAACGAAAGCTTTCAAGACATCGGCAAATATCACCGGAACGTCTTCTGGCGGGGGTTCCCTTGCAGTCAAGACCCTCACAAATGCGGACCGTATCTTGTCCAGATCGCTCGGTTTGGTTTTCTCGCAGAGCGCCGTCAGTTCCCGCCGCGTGGCTTTTGGCACGTCCCGGTCGCGCTTCTTGGGGGAGTCTCGCCTCAGCCATTCGTAGCTGACGCTGGCGGGGGCGGCGTGCGGTGCGGCGGGATCGCTCGGGCACGAGCTGTGCACTTTCCGAAGCTTGGCGTCGCGGTACGCCCCCATCTGACTCTCCAGCTCCCACATCAGCAGGTCCACGTGGAACGAGCCAGCGGCGTTGTCAGCCAAGCCCCTCAGGTGAGACGACCGGCGGCCCGTGTCTTCGTCGCGGCGGGTGAGGGCCTGCCACTCTCGGTTGCGTCTTTTCGGGAGGCCGATGCCACTGGATGAAAATAAGGACATCGATGCTGCCGAGAAGACCCAAAAACTTGGCGGTCCACTACCTCAGCAAAATCAAGAAACGACACAGGAGATACAATAGCGCCAAAATGATGTCTGCACACTTTTTTTTTAAATATTCATTTATTTAGGGCCTATGTACCTTATAGAGTTATAGTGCTTTTGAAACCACATCTCTTGTTTCAGTTCCTATCAATCGGAGTCTAACATGACAATAATGCATTACCAAACAGAAGTAAAATTCAGGGAGAACAAGTCAGGCTAAACGTCCATCTTGGTCAGTGGCGTAGCTAGGATTTCACTGGTGGGGGGCATGCACTAAGGGGCACCAGCATCTTATGGTGGGCACCAGCTTCCAGTGGTGTGTTTTTGAGGGCAAGTTTTTGTTAGTCTTGTTCAACACCCATTCCTCCGTTTTTTTTTTTAGCAGGGGGCGGGGGGACCCACCAGGAATTTGGGGGGGGGGGCTTCGCTACTGGTCTCGGTTATTAGACTCGTGATACTGTTTTATGGCGAGATACAAATGATCAACTATACACTATAATGAGAATATAATGCCTCTAAGCCTGCATCTCGGATCTCTTTACAGCAAAGGTTATTAGGCCTAAGGTGTTTCAGTAGGAAAAAAAAAACAGTTCTCGAAGCCAGGCAAAAATGTCGCCAGGAGTAATGGAGCTTAATTCTTCAGCAGCCGCTGAAGACGATTGGAGGTAAGATGCTACGCAAGGGCATTTGACGATACTCCACTCCGTGGTTTTCTGCATACGACTACTCTATTTGTGAATACACTTTGGTGGAATTGTATATCTGGGAACCCCCCCCCCATTTTTTTGCCATTTTAATCTTATAAAACTGGTCAGTCCCCCCAAAAAACAAAGGCAACGCTCTCTTAAATGTAGGTCCCCGTTATAGAAACGGGGTTCCCAAATATACAATCCCCCAATAGTGGCCTTGCTTGTCATATTTGTATCGCACAGCAGCCGCTACCATCAAAATTCATCTGCTGTGCTTTCGTAAACTGACATGAACGATGTAACAATACCTGCTAATAGTCTTCCTAGTCAGGCATGCCCAGCTTGTCGAGAGTCACCACAATGACTTCACAGAATGAAACTTAATATCTCAGTTGACCGTTGAAGCTTTGCTGATTGTGGGCGGGCATCTTGAAGCAAAACTGATGTTACAAATCTCACACCGCTGACGTGCGCGAGCGGCCTCCGCGATTGTTTGGAATCACACGCGTCGCGGATTTCCTTGCGCGCCTACGCGTCAGGGCAAATCAGGATTCAAAATCATAGCTCTGTGTCAAGAAGTCACACGCTCATCTAGTCGCGTATTCGGAAGCAGAATAAAAACGGCTGATATGAGGATATCTTGTCCATCTTGTCTACGTTCTACTTTATCTGGGACATCAAGAGAGTTCCTCAAACTTTCATCAATGCATGTACAAAGAGTATCATTCAATTTCCATAAAAGCTTAAAATTTCCCTAATTATTCAGAAATACAAGCAGAAAACTGTAAAATAGAAAACGTGCACAGCAAAGTATTTAAAAAAAATTCGCATTTTAAAACAATTGTGTTTTAAATAAATTAAGATTTCAGACCAATATTTCAAAGGGCACTTGATTCAAATACAGCTTAAATTTGCACATTTTGGGGACAATTTTTGCCCTCTAAATTTTAAATGCGGTCAAGTTCATTATCATTTAATGAAACGGATTGCTTTTAGACTAGTATACCTAAGAAATTGCATATATATATATATATATATATTTATATAGTTCTTAGTTTTATGGCACGTCCAGCCTGGTACGAAGGTCACTAACGTGCTCTTAATATGGGCCAGAAAGCAGGCACAGTTACATGTTGAACCATTGTTTTTCCTCTGGATATGAACAGTCTGGATGAAACTTAGGAAGCTAAATAAGAACTTTGTTTATGATATTTTTCTCTTTAAAAATTTGATACGTATATTGGACATTAAAAAAAGACATGCATCATGGTAAATTGATACATGTACTTCCGAACTAAATGATTATCCATTCAGATATACACCTGTTACAATCGACAATCAGGCTGATTAAGTTCGGGACGACGGCTATATGTGCTGGTGTGATTTACACCAGGATGCACTGACTCGTCTCCATTGGTACACGACGACATACAGGAAACCCGACAGGAGCCAGATTCCTAAGCACGTGTAGTGAGTAGTCTGATACGTACCGGTTAAGTCATAACTCAGACCTGAAAAGAGAAAAGGGAATCATTGTTAGTACACAGCAAGTTATACCAAAAATGTGTGGGCATGCACTGTTGACTGCTCATTAGGGAGAGAGCGTAAAAGGCCCTCTGGTAAGGTCAGTCTTTCAGGTCTCCGAAAATTTTGGCTACGACTCATATCAACGCGTGCATCTATGGGAGCTACTGGCTCGTGGCCGGCACGTTGACACGTGTGTTATTGTTAGCCGCAGCCGAGACTTTCGAACGTAGCCTTTTCAGATGAGACAGTTTACCTGCCACGGAAGACGCCAGTAGTCCACCAATCCCATAGGCGATCTGGAGAGATGTCAGCGACTCCACAGCTTTATTGGCGCCAAAGAGCTCCACCACGCAAGAATAGCCCAAGCCGAAAATCGTACCCCGCAAAAATCCAGCAACTGTCAAGTGTAGACACGATTATGTGGATATTGAAGTAGAGGGATTGGTTATGCGTAGAACCAAGTTTTTTGTTTTCCTGATTATTGCCGAAATGCTCTACATGTACGAAACGTACACCGACATTCTCATTGTAGGTAAAGCTTGACCTTAAACTACACTTCGATCATTGGTCAATCGCTTCTTGAAGTGCGCAGGCGCAGCACAGTCCCACTCGAACAACACTCATTAATAATTTTGGCAAAATCTATGCACATATTTCCAAGCGATTGAAGATCTTGTTCTTTTCACAGCTGCTACCGTCTCTGACAACTATTTTGAGTCAGTGCTTCCCCCAAAATCACTTTCGAAAAGAGGCTATTAATACGAGAGATGCGTTTGCACTGTTGTCCAGTTCCAAAATGGCCGATTCGACCAGTCCAACAATGTGGTTATATATAATTATTGTTGACAATTGGCCCTGCTTGTTTCAATAAGCATGATTGATCAAAACTGCACTCGAGCTTGAGCTTTTGCAAATAGGCCTTTGTAAAGGTTCCTTTGACTTAATTTATTCATCCTTGTCTCCGACTGGCCTTGATATTGTAAGAAAGTAACACTCACCGACAGAGTACACGACGAATATCCACAGCGACGTCCCCCGCGTTAGCAGAAAAGCACCCACTGCACCCACGCCAGACGCCAACGAGAGCAAAACAATCTTCCTCGGTAGGCGTCCACCCATGAGCGAGAGGCCGAGACGGACGACCACATCCGTGACGTACAGCAGGGTAATCAGCCAAGCAGCGGTGGGTTCAGGTATGCCGCCAACGGTCATACAGCTAACCTTTGACATTGGACCAAGAAAAAGTGAATTTATAGCGCTTCCAGCGCAAGTCTTGCCAGCAATAAGCTTTGAAAAGAAAATTAACTTGATTGGTGTAAGATGTCTCAATTTGGACATTTTTGGTAATTTCTTAAGCTCAGGATGTTGTCTGATGGCTACTTTCTACATCGTTCCTGGATGTTGATGATTTCAGCTCTCTTTGCTGGTCTGTGATTACCCCCCCCCACACACACACGCACATTCCAATTAGTTTGGCGACGTCTAAGGACCGTCACCTTATTCCCGTTATGTGAACTCTTTGGCCCAGTTTGTTTCACAAGGATCTGGATCTCGATCAGTAATCATATCGCAGGTTCGCTCCATCCATTATGCAGGTTTGATGGCAGTGAACCAGCGACGGATCACTGATCTCGATCCGGATCCAAGTGAAACAAACAGGTCGTTTACTCTTTCATGAGTTCCTCATGCTATTCTACCCTATGGTCTTACCAGGTTAACTGCGTTGAATACGATAGTCACAGTCACTCCGATGGTGCCGATGAAATAGCAGGCGTGTCGGGGATCCTTGGCCAGGTCTATGTATTTGCGCCACACCCGGTCATTTGGAGTCAACACGGCGGACTCTTCTGGGACGACCCCATCACCGACCGCCTCTTGATGGGTTGGAGGCTGCGCGCCGCTTGACGGCACGAGAGCAGTTGTCCTCTCTGCTGACAAGTCGGAGTCGTCACTGGGACCCTTGCGTACACTAAATTCTCTCTGCAGCGAGTCTTCGTTTTCTCTGACGGGATTCGCCGCTGCCAGCCGGCTTGGTGGCTGACAATTCGCCTGTCCGTCAGTCCGTGGGTGCGATTCTCCGTCTCGATTCTCCGCAAGGGGTCCGGGTGCATTGCCAACCTCGGTCATGTTCAATGCGTCCTTCTCGTCCGGAGATGAGGCCGCCTCCCCGTCAAATTTGACGGGCCGCGGCCCGGGAGGCCTGAAGACCATTGCCAGTGGGACGCATGTCAGGAAATTCACCACTGAGAGAACCTGAAGACTCCTCCGCCATCCTATTCCAGAAAACAGCGCCTCGAACAATGGAGTCAAAAGCAGAGTACCTGTGAATTTTTTTTTCAGATTGAGACTTTTTAAAATAAGGATAAAGAGAGGAAGACATTTTTTTAGATAATAAACTAGACCACAGCAAAAAAACTCTCGACGTCAATGCCATAAATTGAGGTTGTGTACTATTGGAAGCAAGTTTTTGCTTTTCAACGCCTGCTTTTTGGACGTCTGTGAAGTCCACGTGACATTTGAGGAGAACACCGAGGATGTGTCAGACTGGGAAACTTTGAGACACTTGGTAAAGGCAGACAAACCAGTCTTTTTCCATAGTTGCGCGTGTGCTCAGAGCCACCACACATGCCTGGAACTGTCAAAAAGGGCCAGTTTGTCTGCTGCCACCGAGCGTCTCAAGGTCTTCCGTGACTCAGCTGCGGCTTAGCAAAACACATGCAAACCAGAAGCTGCTTCAGCCATGTTGCGCAGTTGCTAGCGGGACAAGTCCTTCAGACGCGGCCTCAGACTGGGATGGAGAACACGGATACATTTTCAGCGAGAACATAATCTCTAAAAGGGTAGTTCGATAGACCAAGCAAAGCTGGTTGTGACTATACCTATGGACTGGCCGCTGCTCCCCAGTGCCGTGGCCCGCGCGCAGTTGCGTCCCGGGAAGTACAGGGTCATCATGTTAACGGAGGGGTTGCTGAGGAAGTTCAGCCCGGTGGCGAAGAGGATTCCGAACGTCAGGTAGTTCTGGACAGAAACATCAATATTTGTAGTGAGTGAGTACGGGGGATATGGTCAGGTTCAATTCAAACAGATCACTTGTGGATTGTTTATGTGCACATTTTCAATCGACATGGAATGACTAATTGGTTCCAACACTCATCCCGCCAGGCGTATAAAAATGGCATCACAAAATTCGAAAACTCAAGGGAGTTTGGCTTGAAATTTTGTGACTACTTTCAGTTTCAGCTACTAGATACAGTATTGTACCCTGGAACAATATTCTAATGGAAATAAACACTGAAATCGACAGTGGAATGTTTAACACTGCGCTATACAAACATTCAGTATACGTACATGTAAAATAAGCACAACACTGATGAGCTACCTTGATCTGAAACGACTGTGAGATCACCCGTAGTTGCCCAAGCCTCACCCTTAATTGGTCGAAAAACCTCTTGCCAAGGCCTCCGTGGTTTGACCGGCATTTGGCAGAGAAGCCAAGCAGAGCAACCGCGCAGCGGCTGGGTCAGAACATAGAGCTTTTATATATATATATACCCGAGTGGGTCTTATATATACCTGAATGGGTCAGAAACAAATGCGGCGTGCATGCAACATGAAACCTGTGGTCTCTACTCTGGTCGCTTCGTGGTTTTGAAGCACCGCCCCGCCCTCCACCTAATACCGGTTAAAGCCATGATGGCCTTGGCGAGACGCTACCGTGACGGGCGTTCGCAGAGCGTACCTGCCAGAGCGCCTGCGTGAAGCTGGAGGCGAGGATGCCTGCACTGCTGAGCACAACGCCCAGCAAGATGATTCTGCGGTGGCCGAACCTCTCGTACAAAGGGCTGGAGACGAGAGACATGAGATTGAGGAGACCGTTGCCTAGGGAACCAATCCATCCTGTCAGGGTCAATGGAGAGAAATCATTTAATAGCGTGAAGGGTCGGAGATAAATCAGCCGATGAGATCTTGACTCCACAGCAGGGCGTCGATGAAGTCAAAGGGTACGTTGAGTAGCATCCACGGGGCGCCACGCTGACCCGGCATTGCAGTATGTGCTGTGTGTCGAAAAAAGAGCTATATGGTGTGGAACAACCGAGGTGGAAGCCAATCGACCACAGCACATGATTCGCCTGAAGCCGTGTTATTTTGAGCAAATTAAACTGTATACCTTTGTGCGTATGGCTTGCTAGCGCGCATGTGGCGCGAAATGTGTGGGAATTAATGTTCATCAGTATGTGAGTAAAGCCGTCTGGTGTCCATGTTGGCCGGCAGCCTGCGCATTCACAAGCCAGCCTCGCCGCTTAGGCTACGTTTCACCGTTGAGGGGCACTAATCCAAGGAGCCAAATATAGGACGCTAGAGATGGGACTTTGAAATGCTGGTGGCAGCAGACATACGAACCTTTTCTCACATTGCACGTCTTCAGAAGTGTGGGTTCATGCTCACAACAACACACGCATCACAGACAAATGAACGCAAAGACCGCCAGATAACACATAAAACTACATGAACATTTCGTGACCTTCGCGGTGCCTGACTAAAATCAAAACTACGGGCAAATTCACATCTCGGCATAGGGAATTTACGCGCAGTAAGTAAGCTTTTTCTCGACTGTAAAACAAACCCTCTATCTACTTAATCTAGACCACGTAGATTCAAAGTAATGAGGTTACAACATTTGAAACAAAGAGATGGCAGGACCAAAGAGCAAAAATTGAACGTAGGCCTATTTCGAAAGCACATATGTATACAAATCATAGATCTATAGATCTCTCTCACTGGACACCACCAAACAAACAGGTGAAAAAAATGTTTTGCACTCAAGCACTTGCCGATCCAAAGAAATAGAAATAGAAAACTTAACTTAGTATCGGGCAAAGGCTGTAATATGGTTTTGATTGGCCGTTAGCGCTCCAAGTTATGGTTACTAGCAGCTCGCCTACACTGCAGACAGTGTTGAAGGTGGCAATTGCCAACCAGTGGTATAGTGCGCATGCGCCTGTATAATTTGCATATTTCATGGGAAAGGTCCATTTTGTGGCGCTACTTACCGCGCTTACGATCTCCATTCTGCGCTAACCGCGCTAGCAGAAATTTCTGCACAGATAGAATCCTTAGTTATGGGATGTACGGATGCGCACAATTCAAAAATCCTTGCTAACCTGTGAAATACGTTCGCCGTGAGCACAGAATTTTCCGCTACGGAAAGTGCTGATTGTTCGCTTGCGGTAAGCATGAAATTGGGCCCTGATCTCCACGGGTACTCCATGCGCACACAATGTCAGTATACGAGCTGCCATTCGTCGTTTTGCTCAAAATTACAGTTCTGCACGTAAGTTTACCAGTCTATGCATTTATTTATTTACACGGTGGCACGCACGCTCAGAACGGGTAACAAAGATAGAGATGATAATGAGTAGAACCGCATGGGACAAAGGGCACATTATGTTGTCCCATTACGCACAAACAACTTGGAACCTCGCGGACGCCCTGGTGTGCGTGTGAAACGCACACAAGCACCCCGAGTTGAAGTGCGCGTGCGCATTAACATGGTAACACAATACGGGCGTTTCACAAGAGTGTGCAACCAAGAGTTTGCAACGCGTTGGCCAATCACAATGCGCGAAATTTGTCGACCCGATGCTCGTTTGGAAAGGGTCGACAAATTCCGCGCGTTGTGATTGGCCAACGCGTTGCAAACTCTTGGGGGCGCACTATTGTGAATCGCCCGCATTGAACAACATTTCGGCCTGTTCTGGGGCCAAATCTGCGTCACGTAGAATTTCAAGTTCAGTTCAGTTACATAAATTTTATTTCCGCGTCATGGCAAAATATAAGTACCAACAATGTATGAGATAACAGGCCACTGGAGGTGGCAAAACCTTGAAAGCAAAGCTTGTGTTGGGCACATCATTACAAGAAACAAACAAGACATTGCAAAAGAAACAACAAAATCCATCCGGGAAAACATCGCACATGTACAAAAGAATACAGGCCTGTCACCTCCAGCTATTTACTGTTATCATCTCTATGGTAGTAAAGGACCAGTATGTTTGTCGCCACCAAGCGTTTGAAAGTTTCCCATTAGGGTGCCCTTATTAAATTCTATGGCTCTCATTTCTTTTACCACTTGAGATAAGGTCGGTGGGTCGAAAAAAATCCTTTTAAAAAATCCATGTTGCTGGTGTTTAAATGACTGAATAAACCTCAATTGTCCGTGTACAGGGGCCTTTTTGTTCTCTCTGCATTTTTGATATGCATAAGTATTAAAAAAAGATAAATGTATAAAGAAAATGTGTGTATACTTGCATGCAAATGGAATATACATGTTCTTATTGTTACCCGAAGCCACAAAACATACCGCGCTTGATGACCGAGGAAGTCTAATCCTGCTGGTCGGTACCATGCTGCTCACATTGAAAATCCCCTTGTACGGGTCCGGGTCAAGACAAGTGTAGGGCTATGCACGAACCTCAGTGGGCCACGGAAAGGTGCGGTATACCGAATGTTCACGCGAACGCCGACCGTCGCTGTTGGTCGTTTGCAAAATCGTAGGTTTCCAGGGCTTTTGTTTTCAAAGGTCATGCTGTCCAATTTTTTTTTTTGGTTTAGGTATTTTTAGCAGGGTCGGCGGGGAAAAAAGTTTGTTTTTCCGTGATCGGGAGCCCAAAATAGTGTCGGTCAGAAATGAAAACCATAGAATATAAACGGGGTGCCCTTATCTATCTGCTCTTGAGTTCTTGACCGTTAGAACCAAACATATTATGCAATCACACGATAAGGATTACGTGCAGCCCTAAGCCAATCGATTATTGTTTCTTTTTCAGCATGCATGCCAACTGTATGGCTTCATCTCTATGCCTAAGTACGTGTGAAATGTGAAAATAAGTGGACATTCGTGCTCCATTTTGTAAAAGAGGTCTTCCATTTTTATTTTCTTTCTTCCGTTTTTTAGATCATTGGGAGACGGGAGACCCGGGGGACCAACATGTATTTCAGTAGGAAAGCCGTGGAAAGTGTATGGGATACAAACAAATGCATGTAGGAATGGTCGGGTCCCCACATACACCGTTAGGTTGACTACACATGAGCTGATTGATTGTAGATCTTATACACAAGCCATTTCTATCCCGTTCCCTTATCTTTTTCATTGTAATCCGTCAAATCGCTCCCAACTTTGTATGGGTCAATTCAACACATATTGTGGCGACGATAAGGAAAACTAACTCGTAGATGGCGTGGTTCACGATTTTGAAAGAGTTAAAGCTGAAATTCCTCGGATGACTTACCAGAAGTTTTTGTCTTTTTTTGGTTAAAGTAAGTTTACAGTTCACCACATACAGACGCTTTCATCATGGCGAGATTTGTGGGTGGGAAGTTTGTACGCGTACTGGACCTTATTCCCGAGGAGCCATTTTTGATCTTATTCATCGAATCCGTTTAATGAATTGTTAACTCTCTGATGAGATGGTATCTGACTATTTTAGAATTCATGCACACTCCGATCCACCCTTTCATTTTTTTGTCCAAAACACCGGGGTAAAAGATCGAAGTGTGTTACCATCACAAATATGAAGTTATTCATCACGGTAGTCCGGTAATCATTTCCATGGACATTTGATTTTATTCTCTCACGAAAAAATTCACTTCCAGTTTCAATCCCCATGGCCGACTCGTGAATACGGTCCATCGCACAATAAAATTCGCAGTCAACTGCAGACGCAGCTGTAACACCCCTCGCTGCGAGGAAATTGTCTCACCTATTGCAGCAGCGGATCCGTGGAACTCCCGCTCAAAGTAGACGTAGAGGAGAACAAAAAGACCGAGAGTGCCGCAACTGACCAGGTACATAACGAAGGAGGCGGCCGTGACCACCCAGCCCCAGTGCCGGTCCAGGCACGATCTACAGCCGGTCATGGTGTTTTCTCTGGCTGGACGGCAGACGAAGCCCGCCAACTAGACGAAGCCGTAATAGTGCGGGTTCGAAGCCCATGGACGTGCTACTTATGTTGTCTTGGGTTCAGTTGTTTGTCGTCTGTTAACCTATGGATGGAACATTCTTGTGCATTGTATGAGACCAAAGTCCCGTCAGGCCGCACGGGACAGATGTACTTGTCTAGACTTGGAGTTCAAAGTGTAAGAGCTGCGAAGTTTTCTTCAACATATTTTTTTTTGCTGCAACTTTTTACTCTTCGTCAATGTCTTAAACTTCTTTTCATTCCTTTTTGGCTCAATGCATTGGAAACCTCAACTAATGTTAACATTTAATGTCGCCTGTGCTTTCCAGGACAACTGAGGGAGCTGTTGCTGTGATGACATCGAGGGAAGACATAGTTCAGTGTAGAAGGCCGCATCCGAATCTGTTGTTTAGAGCTCAGTCTGGGTCTTCGCTCCATTGGAAGTGTGTGGAGACGCGTAGACCTAGCCGTAGCTCTGGATACCCGTTTCGGACGCGGCCTAAGTTTGTCTGTTCAAATTGTGAACCCATGATATCCTTTCAGAAAACATTTCTGAGAAAGGGATTGAGGCTTGCTTATTGCTATGCACAGAAACAACAGCGAATAACGAACCAGAGAAGACAAACTTATAGCCAAAGTAAAGTCAACAAAAATTCAGGATTTTTGTGTACCAAGGTAACACCGAGGCTTTCGTCCTGGGATGACATCACAGTTTTGCTCATGAATATGTACATACTCATTGGCATTGAAATAAAAATGCAGTAAAAATACCTTTGAAAACAATGAAACAAAATTTGGAAACAACTGAAACACAAAGGTTTATACTGTTAAAAAGGAATTGATTGCAGCTACCATTTAATATGTTTGACAAATCACAGACCTGTGTTGAATTTTAATTAATGCCGTAATCTTCGACAAAAGACCTGAGTTAAGAGAAATAATGAAGGAACTTCTAATTTTGGAGAGAAGAAAGGACATCAAAAATGGATTATATTTTAAATGGTAATGAATTCACTACCCAGAGCGCCATCACCTCATAGACCGGCAGGTTTCTGGCGTGCATTTCGGAGGTCAACTTCCATCAGCTTGAGGTAAGCCTTCGTGCATTCGGGTAATTTTAGAAATTAGGGGTCCATTTTGTTCTCGTCACTGTCACATCTGCCATTTGATTCTGTAAGTTCAGAGGAAATTCTGTACTTTTCAAGGGTGATGAATTAATGCAAATTACCTGCCACACAACTAGAATTAGTTTAAAATCAATTTTAAATGTCCACGTCAAATAACACAGTTCAGGTGAAACAGGGGAGACAAAAATGCCACATTTTTGGACCCCGGATTTATAGAATGACCCATTACAAACCATTCTGCAAAATTTTCTGTGCAATCAATGGACAAGTTCAGGAACCACTTCAGTTGACCAAAATTCGACTTAGTGAGAAGATGCAGAACCCACACGTATGGAGGGTTTGCATGGCTGCCATCTTGCAGGCCAGTACTTTAGCTCCATAAGGTATGCAAAGGGAGGTTTCTCTGTGGAACCAAACAGCTGCCCTGCAACCGTACAAAACGTCTGTAAAGTCAGACTAATTGTCGTCCGGGTCAGGGGAAAACGAGACTTCGGGAACAAAGGGGAAAAAGTGGAGACCAAAATCAAGCATATTTTCGGCAAACGATAATAATAAACGCGAAGGGTTCATGCATCTGTGACTTAAAGATAACTAGACAAGTAGCCGTGATGGTCAGATGCCTGGCTTTTAAAAGGGAATGAGCGGTTTGCAACTCTGCTTACCTTCAACGCTATCTTGCACGGAACTGCATGAGCACAGCAACTCCCTCAACGCTATCTTGCACAGAACTGCATGAGCACAGTTGTTACTGGTGCACATGGACGCTTTCGCCTCGTTTTGGAAGCGTTCTCATCATGATCAAAGACGACCTACACCTCCCATGTTGATCATTTCCGATCAAGCGCTACTCGTACCAATTAGCTGGCAACTCGGAAGGCCGAGAAAACGAATGACACCATCACCAATCACCGATTTATGACTTAACGGCGCTGCTACAGCAGCACACGTAGCGTCATATCTCGTGGTCGAAATATACGTGTATATATGTAGTGAATTATTTACATAGCCATTTCGTGATGGCATGTTGCGGCCACGTGTGACCTCCGGCCAGCCATAGCTTAATAACCACGGCACACAAGAAAATGTGTGCCGTATAACCGCCGCACAGCAAACACAGAGAACCAAGTCGGGTATGCGTGCGCGTTCGTACACCGTACATATTCATGTGAATACATGTATGTGTGCACAGGTACATGGGCGTGCATGTCCAAGTACGTGTGCATGTCACGTCACGCTTCGCCTGTCCTGTACAAAGACCGCCATGTTGGGTCTCTAGCTTCCGGGTTTAATGTGTGTTAATATTTTTGTCCTGTTTGGGCCATTGACAATTTTTTGGGGGAGGGGGTCCTCAAGGTATTCGGGCATACCGAGTATGAACACATGTATTAACAACTTAGCTAGTGCATGAAAGAAACTTTCAAGAATACGAATGATTCATTTTACTTGAATCTTGAGCTCTTACGTAGATACCAGTTCACTAATATACTAATTCTAATTTATGTCGCTTAAACGGCAATTAAGTAGAGGCAACAAGTTTGAGCAGCCCATTGAAAATGTACAGGGCCACAAATTTCAACGTCATATTCTCTCAGCCTGTGCACTTTTTTCCACTTTGTCTTCTGAAAACCCTCTGAAATCATTATTGCAGCTTTCCTTCGATGTCGCCCACTGATCAAGGGATGCGGTTTTCCCTGTGCGTTGTTTACCGAAACGAGTTTTACTGGATTGGGACAAACCATCTAGGAGTTGGTTTACGGACTATAAGTATCCGGACCAGTCTTGTACGCGGGCTTGCATACATTATTACTTCGCTGAGGCATCTCTGTAGACAGCGCCATGATTATAACGCAGGCAATGCATTCAGCGGGGATATGGAAGGTCGCCGGTAAGACAAGCCAAGCAGCTGGAGGCTACACAACAGCAAGCGTGTGGTCAGGCATCAAGCCACATTGGATCCATCCCTGTGGCAGGTGCAGGCATTGTGTCCGGTCGCTCAATCTGCACGACCTGCAATGAGGCCAGGAAAATGAATAGGGGCTGGAGTGCGTATAGCCAGTGGCCATTTAATGCGGCCCCGTACTTGAAATTGAATGGAATGGGTTAATTATATAAGTGGCGTATCCTGTTGCTGCAGTGTGTGTACCGATATCATACGCGTAAAACTTCCGAGGCTGACTATCCGCGTACGCCCCTGACCCTGGCCGTACTTTGTACTTTGCTCTGTGATGACACCACCGAACAACTCACTCTGACTATAGCCTGTGGGAGCAGTGACCAGTGGTCGCGTTGCTTTGTTTCGAAACATTGGCCTAGTGACCGCTGTAGTTATTTTCGAGTTCACCGCACCGACCCAGTCCCTCACTACCAACCTGCCCGTTATTGTATCTTAGGCTCTCTGTACACCGCGCAACATAAACATAAAGGCTCTTAATTTCGCTGGAACTGACAAGGAACACGGGCAGTCGGGCATTATGCTCATTTTAAAGGGAATAAGAAGCCACGTTTCACCGTATTTCTCATGCAATCAATCTACTGAAACCAACTTTTCTCTCCTATTTCAAATCAAGGATTGGTTAAGAAATTGTCCTCTCTTATCTCGTTTCCACGTAAGCTCATGAAGTGAAAATTAACATGCATGAACAAGGAGACTAGTAAGAACGCAAATATCCGGAAGTGAAAGGTCGTTAATGAATTCCCTTTTTTTTTTACCCATCTCCAGGTGACTTTTCCAAAATGGAATAAAACTGTTTAAACCTCCTGATGCTGCACGTTTAGCCGTGCGCAAATCTTGCAAGTTTCTAGGCCTTTGTGCAGTGACAGCAAAGCGGTTGACCAAGCAATATTGCGGGAAATCTTGACCGCACAACTTCCAGTAAAATAGAATGCACAAACCTCCCGAGGCCGCACGGTCAGCGGTTTGCGAGTTGCTGAGGTCCAAGACATTCATTAAGTCGACTGGATGTTGTCCCTCAATGCAGCAATGCAGCCAGCAGCAGGATATCAAGGCAGGGAGAGACATGATGATACCGGTCAAGGCGACGTGCTTTCTACCTACACTAGACTTCAAAGGCCAATTTACGAGCTCGTGAAGACTTCTTTGCAACTTTGTCGCATCAGAGTGCAGTCTTTTGTATATTAATTAAGTGCCCTTTTCCTACAGAAGCCTGTCAAAGCCAGGTGATCAAAGCCCATCACTGTTTACTCTAAACTGGGTATGCATAAAATATGCATTATTTTTGGGTCTTCCCCGTATATTTCTGCTGTCCTAAAGGCCAAACTCATAGAACCTGCCGGAGACTTTGTAGTAATTAGACAATAGCAATATTAATTAATCAATTGGGATCAAAATGTTATTCATGAGAAGCAAGCAGTGGAGGATAAATACGTCATCAGGTACCCCTGAGGTTTTATGCGGGTAAGCAGAAAGCGTGTGGCTCTTGTCTGATAACCTTTATTAGTGTCTTGTTATTCGTTACGAGCCTCGAGAGGGCGCTTTTTTAGCAACGGAGGCTCTTTGATCAGAACCGAACTTCGCTGGTTCATGAACGACTACGAAATCCATGCGTTACGATCGCATCGGTATCAACAAATGAACACTCCCGACCAAAATGATTCTTTTCAACTGATGAGGGGGTGCTTCTGCTCGAGGCGTACCGGTACATAGAACCTCTGGAGGGCGTATGGTCTCATAATGTGAGACAGACTGACCCCCCCGACAAGTCTCAAGAGGATAACGAGACTGTGCTTACGTTAATCTTAGATAGTTTCAAAAGCCTGGGAAAAATGTGTGAGGAAAGGAACATTTGCTGCCTCACGTGTCCTAGTTGACCGTTGCGAATAATTTCAAATTGTCGAGACGTAAACCGCATATTCAAGGCCCTGGACACAATTTTCACATCGCTGAATATTTATATACCCGTCAGTCCTCATAATGATCCTGTTTCAAGTCTCATTAGGCAAATGAGTGGTGTTATGCATCAGTCTCTGTACCGTAGGCTTCACCGGCGTGGGTGCCTTTAACACTGCTTGCTTCTCATGAATAACATTTTAATCAATATTATTGATACATTAATATTGATATTGTCTAATTAATACGCAGTCTTCGGCATGTTTTTTGAATTTGGCATTCACAGCAGCAGAAATGTCTGAATACCTAAGCTTTAGTCCATGCCATGCTTTATTCATCCCGTTTTAGAGTAACTATTGATAGGCTGGATGATCACAAGTTTTGATGGGCTTCTGCACGAGGCATATAAAATGATTGCAACGCTGGACACATTGGCATTCACATTGACGCAGCACAGTTGCAAAGAAGTTCCCCTGAGTTCGCAAATTGTCCTTCGAAGGCCAGAATATAGGTACAAAATACATCGCCTTGACCGGTATCATCATGTCTCTCCCTGCCTGCCTTGGTATCCTGCTGCTGGCTGCATTGCTGATAGCTCAACCTACTCTTGCTTGGGTTGAGGGCCAACATCCAGTCGACAAGGGCGCCGTGGACCTGGACAACTGGCAAACCGCTGAACGTGCGGCCTCAGGAGGTTTGTACCTTCTTGTTTTGTCAACAGAAGTTGTGACTTGATTATTTTGGGTCTTGTGTGATTATGCAGCAGATTGCAATTCAGTGCTGCTTGCTTAAAAGATTTGTGAACAGTAAAGCGTGCGGCATTGCTGGTATTTGGGGGGCACTCATCAGCAGCCTGACTAAACTGTTAATGTTCGAGGGGTCAAATCCACTGTATATTCAAACAAATCCCAGGGCCGATCCAGGCATTTTTTTTGCGTTGGGGCGGCGATTTTTTTTTTCGCATGGCTGAGGGGTTAGTGTATTGTGTGATATCTTGCCAATTATAACGCCCTGCGAATTTATTAAACAACAATCGTCGAAAAAACTGATCTTCGAATTTCGCTGCCTCTGGTGGCGCAATCCGTATTTCGCCCCTAGTGACCACCTTGCTGTTGCAGTAATGTGCCAATCAGCCTCCACTGCCGTATTAAGAAAAGTGAATAAAGGAAAAACTATGTTCCCTCGTGGGACTTTACTAAAGGGATTAACTTGAAGTCTCATGCGCCAAAATTCATGTTCTTCTATCCAGAAAATTGCCCAAGTTAAACTGTCAACCAAGTGAGACTGAAAACTGCAACTACCCCGACTGAGTTGTGCCGACCCATTATTTGGGGGGGGTGGTGACTGGAAGTTGACGTTTTTCTCATTTAAACGAAAAGATTCGGTTAATTGTTGATCCACACAGTTGTTCAAAGTGCATCAGAACTTAATTTTCACTCCCAAATTGGGTTGACACCTGCCAGTTTCTGGCATTTGAAGTTTCGTCCTAACTTTCAGTGTTTGATCAGGCTTTCGGTCATATTTAGTTGAATCAATCAGTAAGCCCAAAATGACAGCCTCTCCCATGCAGCAGAATATCTCGTCGTGAATTATATAGGTTTGCGGTAGCACCATGCAAGGATATCTCTTTTGTGAGTATGTGTGGTTCTGAAACGTCTGGTTTTGAGACTGCAGAGGTTCCGATCAGCTGCTTCGGCATCAGAGCCTCTACAGGTCTCCTGACGACAGACGGAGCATACTTTCCGAAACATTGGGTACCCTCCGGTTCTTTTCAGAATCCGCATACAAAAGAGAAATCGTTGTAAAGTGCTACTGCAAACCTCAATGACCCACCGTTCTTCATCATGGAAAGCTCAATGTCTCGTCTTGCATTCTTTATTCCTGATGCCAAGTGCGAGAGACGATTGAGGCGATGGGTGATGAGTACGTCAAGCTGTGCAAACAGAACAACATGGAAGGTGCCATGAGCTTTGCGCATGACCAGCTTATCCTCATGCCACAAGGCTATGGAACTATTTCGGGAAAAACCGGTAAGCCCCTTGTAATGATTGTTTCCTTGAAATTGAACGGGAAAATCTGTATTTGTCTGGCTATCGGCAAGCCTGCATTAATTTCCACCCTGCACGGTTTATTAGTCATAACAAGATGCCGTACATTTGACGTTATTTGGACTTGGGGGGGGGCATGTGGCCGAGTCGTTAGTGTTTGTAGCTTCTGATCCTAGGGTCGGGGGTTCGAATCCAGCTGGTGGCAGTATGTTGCGATCTTGGGCAAGTCACTTTACCCCCCCCCATGTGCCTCTCTCCACCCAGGAGTAAATGGGTACCTGTGAGGGTAGATGGGGTTATGCTAGCCGTGTGCGCCTGATAGGGGCAGCATCAGCTAGTAAACTCCCCGGGGAGCTGAGATGGTTTTAGGAATGTTCATTTGTTGTGAGCCCAATGTGCAGGGATAATGATAATACTGCGCTTTGAGCATAAAGTGTGATGGATATGTGCGCTATGTAAGAACAAGCTATTATGATTATTATTATCATTCTAGTCACCAATCTGTGTTACGTGATCCTTTTGGTCAAAACCAATGGCTGACATTTGTATTACGCTGTGGCTAGTCCACACCAAGCCGTTCCACTTCGCTTATTTTACACATACCCATAGCCAGCGGAAAAAGCCTGAATATTGGGGGCGTAAGTTTAAGTCATGGGGTCGGCTCAAACTTTCTTTTTTTGCATCGTTGAGGTACTACAAAAATGCACAGGGTGACGGCCTCCGAATCCAAATAGGCCTATATATGGAATTATCATTTTTGCAATTAGGATAGACTTTAATGGCGGTCAATACAGGAGGATATGGTTTATTTTGGGCCAACCAATAAGAGATCACAAAAGCTGCTTTTCTGTCTGTGTCGTCTGTCTATGCCACGCATATACAATAGCAAATTTTATCATTGTAGCCTACACTGCAGTCCTTTGCAAAAGTTTAACACCACCTGGAATTTTATTGGTATATTTGTCAATGTGTCTGTATTCCATTGTCTCATTGAATGATTCTGACATTGGTGCATAACATCAGCGTAGTGCTAAATACCATTTGAATGAATTTGTTTGCAAAGGCAGGTCTTGTATGACAATTTGTCTGCAAGGCAGCACGGGTAAAAACAGCCAATCGTAATCAAAAATAAACGAGTGCACATTAGACTGTCCAAACCATGGAAATGTAGTCAAATTTCTGTTTAACCAAGATACTAAGGTTACACTTTGAAAATAAATATAAGTTGCAATGATTGATTGGTTTAAGTTGGGTTTTTTTGTTCAGGTTAATGTATTTTGTAAGGTGATCCCAATCTTTTGCAAATGACGGTACTGCGTACGAAGGTAGTTGTACAGTCCTAAGTCCTTAATGCATCTGTAACACATCCAATTACAGTGTAATTTCACTTGTTTTGCCTCATTAGATGCCATTCCATACTTCAAGTGGGTTGAAGATGTGCAGGGGATGACCGAGGTCTCCAAAGAACTGAAGCCCTTGGATAGCAGCGCCACCTACGTCTTCCAGCGCTTGGAATCTACTATAACGTACAAGAGTGACAGACCCACGTTTACGGGAAAGTAAGTTATCAACTTGCTGTCGTTGATTTCGCGAAAAGGTGAGAGGTCCCCCCCCCCCAAAGGGGAAAGAAACAAAAGTAAGAAGGAAAGGAGTGTAATCACCAATTTGCCCGAAACTTCCCCTTGGCACTTTTGCACGGGCTGTACTAGTACTGCTCCCCCCTGCCAAAAATAGCTTACCCCCCCCCCGGACACGTACATGCGACTAAGCGGATCTTAAGTTTCCACGAGCTGCATTGCACTAATTACCTAACTACAGGGTGTATCAAATAATACCCCACATCGAAAAAAATGCCCTTAAGGGATTAATATTCTATATTTTTTTGAAAATCCTTTTACATAGGTTGAAAGACAATGGTTCGTTGCCTTTTTGTGCAGCTGCACAGACTCAAAATGTGACGCATAAGTGAGCACGGGTTAATTACGTAAATGGCGATACGTCTGTTTTCCCCCGAAAAGTGCTCTTTAGGGAAGTTTTTCAAAGTGGGGCATTATTTGATACACCCTGTAGCCACTGTTGTGTTCACCTACATCCGCCGTGGAAAATTAAGCCCAACAGCATGTCTAAATCAGTTCAACCTGGACTCAACCGATTTGCACGCTGGAAACGTGAGGCAGCTGTTCACCTCTGTTTTCATATGAAAAAAACAACTGTGGAAACGGATAGCTAGCTAGTGCGGAATGGCTAATGACACCGTGAACGCCTCGACCAAGGCAAAGACAGACGAGGCCTTGCGAGGCACTGTGATTCGAGATGAGGGGAGTCGATGTGAGAAGTTGGTCCAGGGGGCTGTGTGTCAGGCAAGATATCAAATGCCGCACAGACTCCTGTCTGGTACCTCGTCTTCATTGTGGGCTGGATTGGCCCTGACAAATCATTGGCTTTGCAATTAACAGAATACCCTACATACTGGTTCTCTTATCAGGTTTTTAAGAATTTGGAAGAAAGTTGACGACAGCTACCAGGTTTACATCAACATGTACAACACCGGCCAATAACCAGGAGGCTGTGATCAAACTGAGGCACTTGATTCATGGGCGTTCGGTAAAGGACAGAAGGCACCTACTGGGTTATCCTGAATTTTAAAAAGTTAATTTATCATTTCAACTGCAGTCCAGTACTGAAATTATTAAACACCACTCTTTAAAAAAACATTTGCATCACAGTTCCGAGAGGGCTAAAATATAACCCCTATTTTTGTCAAAAGGATTTTTTGAGGTTTCATAATGTGTGGGACAACTGTTTATCGTGTTAACATCCCGATGGGCTTGAAATGTCGCCAAAGCAGCCAATAATTAATGCTGCTTCACGCTGCTAGTTTCCTTGATTAAAAGTAATAATTATTTGATTGACCCACTATACCTCAGGTGGAAATCGAGCCTGCCTCGTTCTTTGAGCTACGCTGGAAATTCTCTTTCACTGGAAGCTATGATAATTTTACATTTTGAGGGTTTTTTAATATCATGTCAAACAAACCACGAAATTGGCAATCATTTCATTTCTGAGAATATTTACATATTGAAATGGGTGAGGGAAATCGGTTTCAATAAATTGTTTGCATGAGAAATACTGAACGTCATGGCTTCCCCTTTCGTCACGGATTCCCCTTTTCATGGCTTTCCCTTTTGCCATGGCTTCCCCTTTTGCCACGGCTTTCCCTTTTGCCATGGCTTTATCTTTTGCCATGGCTTTCCCTTTTGCCATGGCTTTCCCTTTTGTTTCCCGGTATAGGTTATGCCCCTCTTGACAGTCGATATACTTTGAGCTTCTCCACAAGAATGGCTCTAAGCAGTACTGTCCACTTAAAACATCAAGAATTTTGCCAAATGGCGCTGCTGATAACAAACGTGGTTTTAAAGAGGCCACAACTGGCTTGGTGGTGCCTTTATTAAAACATCTTTATTCTTTCTGGATTTGCAGATCCAGAGGTAAATGCATTTTTTTTTTTGCGTTTGCCCGCCATCGGTTTCCTGTTTCTGAGAATTGACTATGATGACTAAATAATTATCATGTGGCCATCAGCATGATGCAGGATCGGCTAATCCTACCTGGGCAGGAGGACCCCGTCATGGTGGCGACGCGCGCGCAACCGTAGCGTTTACATTTCACAGTCGTTTGTGATCCTGCGAAAAGGCCACTCCCATCGAAGGAGACCCCTTTGAGCTGTGTATAGCAGGAACGATAACTGCGCCCTCTCTCATAGCGCAGGCCCCAATGGGCATATTAGACGGTTTGAGGATGGAGGGGACGCACACGTATGGAGCAATACTCATCAGGGTCTAGGGTTAGTAAGGGATCCAATAAGGACTCCGTTTCATGAAGAAAAAGAAGTGAGATCGAATCGTGCACCTGGCTTCCAAATGATGAGTGTTAATCTGAAACGCGTGAGCCCCCAGTCCCCGACATTACATCACAAACGAGGTAAATTTCCAAGAGTGGCGAGCCGAGCCAGCAACAGCGACTTGAGTCGATCCAAACAGATCTTAGTTTTACAAAGGTGTGCTTGATTCAAGCCGTACGCAGCACCGCCTCGCCGCACTTGCGATTCAAGTTGACTGCTTTCCCAACAACTTGCTCCTGGCTTCATCATTGCCCGCTACGATCTTGTTTGTAAGCAAAATCATATTATTGAAACAATATTCGTGTTTGAATAGAGTTTTGTAAACATATGGACATTAATTACATTTTAAGACCGCTAGCAATATCAAGGCCACGTTAGCGAACAATATATATATATACATATATGCATGATGGGTAAATTATGCAAACACATGCATGACATTAAACTTGAAAAACAGACAGAAAAACGGGGCCGAGCTGATAGACTGATGCAAGGGTGGACTGGTGTGGAGACAATGAGAAGAGGACGACAACGGGGATCCGAAATTTCATCGCGAAAATATCACCAAGACTAGTCTTGTCAAAACTTGAAAGATTACAATTATTCCTCCCATGGGGAAGTACACGGTGTGTCCCCAGAATGATGTTTTTATTAAAACCACGATTCTTAGCCGTAGAACAAGGGCACTCTACGAGAAGACATATTTACCGATAGAGGGCGTTCACACACAGCACCCGGAATACTCGTTATACCTAGATAACAGTTTGGGGATACACCATACACTTTCCTGGATGGGTTTACTGGAAGTCATTTTTTTAAGAGTCTATGAAGATAACACAATTTGTTTCACTCAACCATTTTCATTTTGGGGGGGAAGGCTACTCTAGCTATGGACTTTAGCTTAACAAATATCGTCCACATGAAATGCTAGGTTCCAGCGCCCTTTCATAGCCCGGGCTATGACATCTGGCCAGTTACCGCCTTGTGGCATGTCCAGTATGTCCATAGCCAGAGCGCAGCGAGTACTTGCTTCGCACAATCTGTTTCACAACCACGAAACCCCCTTTAACCCTATGATCACCGCCGCAATTTGTCGCTGGTAATCTGCATCCTAAAGACTTTGTGTATTGAGGTGAAGGAAATTGAATATTCGCAGAATTTGCCTAACTACTCTTGTGGAAAAGCTCACTTTATAGATTATGTCGACGACGGGCATATCCTACTTCGAGCTGTATTTCCCATGCAATTAATTTATTGAAACCAACTTTTTCTCTCCCGTTTCAAACCAACGTATTGGTTTGAATAACCACAATTAGCGTCGTCTTTAATCGAAAAACAATGATATGACAAGTTTCCCCAAATTTAAACTGTCGTTCCATTTCCTTAAACCACGAGTGCAGCTTTCAAAGTACACAGGGGATACTAATTACACCGTCGCTCACAGGAGGCTCCATTTTCCATACAATAGCGTTATTGGTCAAGCAAGACCACTACAAAAACAATTTGTATGTGATAACATTATTTATTGGCTCCTGTCACAACAGTGCTAGCCTTTTATAGGCTCTCATGGCCTATAGTTCCTTTAGCAACATTTATAACATTTATAGCCCGTTGGTATGTTTACCCCAATAAACGTAACTATGATTGTCCCAAATGAAACTGTGAGGAAACTCTTTCAAGCAAAAAAACTAAAAAATGTTTTATTCTAAAGAGCAAGTTTACAAAAAATGTGTGGTTTTCAAGGGGCCCGAGCTGGACAGAGAGAGGGCGGGATATTCCTAGTAAGGAGGCTCCTGTAGGAAATTCACTTCGCTGGTTGTTCACGAATGACTATAAAAGCACGCCGGGGGCATTTAAAATACTGATTTCGCTGGATTTATATCTTCATTTACTGGACCCTTACAGCCACACGAAGGACTGTTTTGGTTCTTCTCTAATCTGACAGACAACATGTATTGACGCCAGAGTATTTCAACCAGGGCTGCCGTCTTGTAAAAAGAGCCCAGATTGCGCAGTGTTACGTAAGTTTCTTTTGTTCCCGGAACTGGCACAGTGCGCTGCTTATGTCTTTTTAACAAGGGCCAGATTAGCGAGGTATTGCGTGGCTCATCGCTGCAGTGGCGGAGCGCTTTTGTCCCTTGTGGTAATCTGCTCGCACAGAATGCCCCGAACAGTTGGACACTGTTAAATGCTGGATTATCTCCGCTAATGCAGTGAAAATGTTGGTAATTCCCAGCAGCCTGGTCTTTTGTTACGAGTACCGTCTCTTGTTACAAAGCCCAGTTCCCTTTTTCTCCCATTTTGGACACCCCAGTTATGCATATAAAGATACGTGCCCGAAACCGAGCTCCCCCAGCAGCAAGTAGTTTAATTCAAGCTTTCAACACTCATTGTTTTCCAAGTTAGGTGCAGGATTCCATCTTCACATGTTTTCTGAATGTAACGGAAAGCTTGGGTTCTTTACTAATCATAGACCGCGATGAGTCTTGTTCGATGCGCATGCGTCCCCCTCAATCCTCGAACCGCCCAAGAAAGACCAAGGCCTACAGAGGGGGTAATCTCCCTTGCAGCGACAGAGCAGTGAGTTGTGACCAAAGGTCGTATATCGCCGTAAAGCGGCACGAGATGGCGAAATTCACAGTGAATACACGTAAAACGTTGTCATTGCGTGGGCGCCATTTGAGCAAGCGATACGCCTGCGCAATGCACAGTAATGCAAAGGCGCAGGCGCCGCGGCAGGCACGTGCACCTGGTGAGCCTGCGCCTAAGCATTACCGTAAACTGCGCAGGTGTATCGCTTGCTCAAATGGCGCCCATGGTAATTACATCCTTTGGGCAGAGTTATCCATCTTGTGCCTTCGACGCTATACGATCTTTGGTTGTGACATAAGTGTCACCATTGTTGAATAGAAAATGTCTGCTGCATGCGCTTATGTGACGACGGGCAGTAGTTAAACGATAGCCGTAATGTATTCATAATAAGTAGCCATTTGATTTCCATCATCTGCGGCTGGTGGTACTCTTTCCATACAAAGCTCAATGGAGGCTCCTTCATTGGAAACCCCCGTTCGCTAGTTCACAAACGACTATGAAAAGTAAATGTTTATTATGGTCGTGTCGCCACCACCATTGCTCTTTTCAACCGATGACAGGGTACTCCTGCATCATGTTGATGACCATGTAATAATCATTTAGCTATCACAGTCAGTTCTCACAAACAAGAAACCAAAACTTGACGTTCTGACTACACAAACGCAATAGAAACTGTGCATTATACCTCTGGATCTCCAATTCCACAAAGAACAAATAAAACCATGACAAAAGGGGAAGCCACGACGCATAGCATTTCTCATGCAAATAATTTACTGAAATCAATTTCCCTCTTCCATTTAATTAATAATTCTTATAAATATTTTCAGAAATAAGAATAATCACTATTATGGTCATTTGTCATGGGAAGTAGTTTTTAAACATCCCTCAAAATGTAGACTTATCATACCGTTGTCTTACACATGTAGCTTCCAGTGGTTACAAGAAAGAGGGCATTACCAAAGTCGGTCAAACAAAGAGGCCTTGCCTTGTACCTAAGTGTGTCATAGGTCAATCGAATATTAATCTCAATCAAGTGATAGAAGAGCTTTACTAATAAGCAGTGTGTCGCAACAGTAACTATTGGCTGCTCTGGCGAAATTTAAAGCCCATTTGGACGCTAACCCGATAAAACTGTTGTCCAACACCTCAAGAGAATAATGTCGACAAAAAAAAATATTTCAGCCTTCTCAGAACCTTGGTGCAAATATTATTTTAAAGAGTGGTGTTGAATAATTTCGATACTGAACTGCAGTTGAAATGATGAATTAACTTTTAGGATAATCAAGCAGGTGCTCTCTGACTTTTACCTAACGTCTATGCATCAAGTGCCTCAGTTTGATTACAGCCTCCTGGTTATCGACCGGTGTTGTACATGTCGATGTAAATCTTGTAAGTGCCGTCACCATCCTTTTTCCAAATTCTCAAACTCCTGGAAAGGGAACCGAAATGCAGGGTGTTTATGTACTTGCCACGCCCATGATTTGTTGGAGCCAATCATGTCATCAGCTGACAAAGGTCTGAAAAGACCAGATATCCGACAAGAGTCTCTGCGGCATTTAACATCTTGCCCGACACACCGCCCCTAAGGGCACCTCCTCACACCGCCTTCCCTCATCCCGACCTCCAGCGCCTCGCAAGCCCTAGTTTGTCTTAGCTTTGGTCAAGGCGTTCGTCATTAGCCGTACAGCACTATACAAAATGGGCCATTTTGACTAATAAAAGTAATAGTCAAGCTCTTTGTCTAAAATGACCAATCTAAGTTGGCCAGACAGTCCAATGTTGAGCACAGATAACCAACTTTCGTTTACAGTGCAGCTCTAGCTATCCGTTTCCATCGTTATTTTTCTGTGAAAATCAAGGTCAGCATGCGACCTCATGCGGCCAGCGTGCAAATCAGCTGCTGCGCTGTTATCGGCTTCCTTTTCCCGTCTAGCCGAGAGTGCAGACAACAGTGGCTGTTGATAGGTAGTTAGTACCATACAGCTCATGGAAACCAACGAGCCTGTACGCGTAGAGGGAGGGGCACACTCACAAACCATGGAGCTAGGTTAAGGGAAAGTTCTGAATTTTGGTGATTTGCAATCGTTCCTTCTTCCTTTGGTTTCTTTCCCCTTTGTTGGGAGGGGGGGCGCAAGGATCGCATAACGGGTGTTGCACAGTGGTGCGCCTCCGAGAGTTTGCAACGCGTTGAACAATCACTGTGCGCGAAATCTGTGGACCCTGCTGTGATTGGTCAGCGCGTTGCAGACTCTTGGAGGCGCACTATTGAGAATCGCCAGTATTGATCACTTACTTTCCATTAAAACTGATTGTGCCACTCAAGTCCGTCACCTCGGATTCTGAGCGTTGGAAGACGTAGGTGGCGCTGCTATCCAAGGGCTCCACTTGGATGGAGTTCATGGTTATCTCCTTCACATCTTCAATCCACTTCAAGTATGGATCGATATCTGATGAGTTTAACAAGTAAAATTACACTTACACTTCGAGACGCTGGTGGCAGCAGACATATCGGTCCTTTTTTCAAGGAAATGTGCAAGCTCAGAACTATGCACCCATCCTCAGACAACGCACGCATGCTCAGAACTAGTAAAATGGAACGGTATGTTCGTTGCCACCAAGTTCCTCAAAGTCTCCCATTGCATGTGTTGGTAGGGATGCAATAATGGAGTCCTAAACAGAGGTTTACAGACATACGCAGCATGGAAGTACAAAATATCAGCACATTGATCAAATTTGCCTCAAGTTGGCATAAGAGTGATATAAACAGACTACAGAAGAAGCAGCTGATTTCTTATCTGTTCACCCAAACTAAACCGTATCCTCCTATTTTTCCCGCCATTCGAGTCTATCCTAATTGCAAAAACAAACTGAAAAATTCTGTCGCCACCGCATGTCTGAAGCTTACGGCCGTTAACAATCAGGCCTTTACGTGACACTGCCGTTTATACACTGGCAGACCGACCTTCACTGGCCCGTGACGACTTGTGTGGGCAAGCTCTAGCGTATTGCAAAATGTCAGCCTATGTTTTCAACCTATGGGATCGCATGACCCAGTCGGTGACTAGCTCCCTAAACAACGTCAAATACACATCATCTTGCCCTGACTTACTAAACCGTGCAGGGTAAAACTAACGCAGGCTTTCCAGTAGCCCGACAAACACAGATTTTCTCGGTAAATTTCAAAGGAAATAGTTACAGAGGCTTACTGCTTTTTCCTTCAAGGACCCCATAGCCTTGTGGCATGACGATGATCTGCTCATCCAACAAGTTCTTGACGCCGTCCATGTTGTTCTGCTTGCACTGCTTGACGTACTCAGCAGTCAACGCCTCAATCGTCTCTCGCACTTGGCATTAAAAGGAAAGAATACAAAACAATACATTCTTCTGTAATTCAGTTAAAAATGACCAACAACCCTTGACCAAACACTGAAAGTTAGGGATGATTTCTGATTCACTTTGAGCACTTGCGTGGACCCAAAATCAACCGCATCTCTTTGTTGAAATGAGAAAGGCATAGATATCCTGTCACCCCCCCCCAAAAAAAGAGAAAGATGTTTTGGCACCACTCAATCGGGGTAGTTGCAGTTTTCAGTTTCAGTTGGGTGACAATTTAACTCAGACGATTTTCTGGGGAAGAGAACATGAGTTTTGCACAAGAGACATTCCTTTAGTAAAGCCCCACGAAGCAACACACCTTGCTTGCCCTTGTTCGCTTTTATCAAATATGCTCGTAAAAAGTCCTCAGTTGGAACTCAATTGAGTGAAATCCTTGCGATTATTACGTACAATCTTTGAAAAAACTGACCTGCTCATTTTGCTCCCTTTAGTGGCGTGACGCGTAATTCGCGGCCAGTGATCATCTTACCGTTACGATAATGGGCAATAGTTCGACTAAAATTGCCTTCAGCACTCTCGCCAAGCGCTGCGCATCCGTCAAAATCGCTCTTGGAGCGGTTTTGACGGCTGAAAGGAACGCACATGAGTATTATTTGAATGGAATCAATTTTGGGGGGAAAGGCGGCTTACCTCTGATCGAACGCACGCTAGTCGACGATAGTTGGACCAGTCTAGTCAACCATTTGTGACCAGCCTATCGACGTTTCATGGTCGCACCGTTAGTTGCCATGGGGGGGGGAGGTCTACCCCTACAAAGGTTACAAGCCCCCGCCCCCCTCCCCGAAAAAAGATGGACTCTGTGAGGATCTTAATCTACAGAAAGCTGTACATTACAGTAACAATATATATTTGCAAAGTACAGCATACATAATAAGGCCAAAAGTGCAAAGTTTTTTAAAGTGATATCAGGTCATTTCTATGCAACATCGCCCTCAGGAGCCAGTATCGATCCTTGATATATCATAAACTCATATTCATCGGACGCCAGTAAACCCTACGTAACACTATTTGAATATCAACTGGACCTCCGATTAGGTTATGAATTCCCAACAGAATACAACCACACAGTGAACCAGATTTGTACGTTCGCGAATCTGCCTATAGGCCTTAAAAGATCTTTTGCAAGCTCATGACCACCAGGATGGCCTTTAGTTAGTTCAAAGCTGACTCCACTCACCTTTATGGGTTTCACATTTCTTCTTGTAAAAAAACAGTTGCAAGAATATCATTTTTTTACAGGAAGAGAGGAAATAAAGGAATTATCCCGAATAAGCCAAACTAAGTCGAGGAAGAAGACATATATACCCCCTCCCCCCAAGAAATAATATCACAGTGATGCTGATGTTCTTACCCCCGAGAATTAAAGCAACAACTACCGATAGGTTCAAACTGTAAACTTTCTTAAGGCTGCACGCTTTGCAGTTTCCAAATTCTGCAAATGCCGTCCTCTATGAAAGCAAGAGTTCAATAAACCACACTGCGGCTTATATTGTAACACTTTGAATAACCGACACCGTAACCGTCCGATTAAAAAACGAACAAGAAAGCACAAACCTCCCGAGGCCGCACGTTCAGCTGTTTGCGAGTTGCCAAGGTCCAAGGCGTTCATTAAGTCGACTGAATGTTGCCCCTCAATCCATGCAAAAGTAGGTTGAGCTACCAGCAATGCAGCCAGCAGCAGGATACCAAGGCAGGCAGGGAGAGACATGATGATACCGGTCAAGGCGACGTGCTTTCTACCTACACCAGACTTCAAAGGCCAATTTTACCAAGACTTCTTTACAACTGTGTGGCGTCAATGTGATCCCTCAGTGTCGAGCGTTGCAGTCATTTTATATGCCTTGTATAAAGCAAGCCCATCATTATTTGCTCTATAAAGGGGATGCATAAAACATGGAAGTTTGGGTCTGCATACATTTCTGCTGCCGTGAATGCCAAATCCATAAAACCTGCAGAAGGCCGTGTTTACTCAGACAACATGAATATTAATTGAGTGATATTGATCGAAATGTTATTAATGAGATGTAAGCAGTGGAGGATACGAATGAGTGATAAGGTAGTTCTGAAGTTTTATGCGGGTAAACAGAAAGCGTGTCGCTCTTCTCTATTAATCTTCATTTGTGCCTGGTTAATAGCTCTGAGCTGGACCAAGAGAGGGCGTATTTTTTTAGCAACGGAACGGTCGGAATCGAACTTCGCTGGTTCATGGACGACTACGAAATGCATGCGTTACGATCGCATCACTATCAACAACGCCCATATGACTCTTTTCAACTGATGAGGGGGTGCTTCTTCAAGAGGCGGAATGTGAATCATTAATTAAATGTCAGGGGCGCTCTAGGGCCGTCTGAATGACCAGGTTTTCAAACCACAATCACACGACCCCAACCTCCTGAGGCGGATATCTCTATTTTAACAAAAGGGATGTCCCTATCTCGTGATTAAGTGTTAACTTTGCAGGCTATACTCCATTATTCTCTCTTTCTTTTTTTTTTTTTTTTTTTTTTTTGGTGTTGCTCCAAACTTCTAGGAATGTCCATGTTTGGCCTATGTGCTTAATCTGTTTAAGGGGGGGCTGCCATCTTACAGGTCAGTGCTTTTGCTCCACAAGTATGCACAAAGGAGAATTTGTGGAACAATTGAGCTGCCCTGCAACAGAGTTTCCACACATAAAAGTCGGGCCACATCAGCTGGCCGATACTTGCAGACAAAATAGTTTTTTTTTACACCGCTAATAGCTTTTTACGCATGGTTGACAAGGATACGACAAGTTGGCCATCATCAAACACGCACACGCCTCGGACCACCACATCAAATGGGACAACGTAGAACTCATCGCCCCCATCCCAAACTAGCTTCCAAGAAGAATCCGGGAAGCCTTCAAGATTTTCCGGTCCAACACCGTCCCTCAAGACATCGGTTTGAAGCTCAGTGACATCTGGCGCCCACTACTAACACCTAAGACAACATGCATTCCCCGGGCAGTAGGGTCCCCGAAACCCAAACCAACTCACATCAGAGGCGTTAGAGTTTTCTCTTCCCAAAGCCAACACTCCCCCCCCCTTGGCACAAGGATCCCTATACCAGTCAAGAAACCTTTAGCGAGTTAACTTTGGCCAAAATCTGGTACACTGATAGTTCCTTAAATCCATTTGAATTACTTTGAACAGAAGAACTTGAATTCTCCATACTAAAACCACTGTTGCTATACCTCGTGATTCTGGGCAAGCTTGTGCTTAGTTACATAAGAGACGCCTTGCAACAATACACTGTCAGTTCTCAATGGACAAGAAGGGCACAAAGGAACCAGTCCATTCCAGAGATGATGGTCGCCATGTGAAAGCTTACCTCGAATCACGAGGTATATAGCAACAGTGTCTTTAGTCTGAAGAATTCAAGTCGTCATGTTTAGGGGGCCTATGTGCAATCAGATAACTCAGTGTATCAGATTTTATTCAAATTTAACTCGCAAATGGATTATTCTGCATCCCTACACTATCACGGGATCCAACCTCCTTCATGCTCCAGTGAATGCATAGCAAGCCATCCAGTAACCTCCGTTACTGGGAAAATCGAGCCAATCCTCACAAAATCAGACTTGTTTTGACTTATATTATACAAGCCAATATAATAAAATGCAGGCACCGACCCGCTGTACTCTCTCTATTTACATTTCTGATTATGGAGCACGTGCACGGAAGTCATAATGCGGGGTTCAAGAAAGGGGATTCAAAGTTCATAAAGTGAACCTGTTATTTACATGACAAATGTACGCCGTCAATTGCATTTTTGTATGTACTGAACTTGATAAAGAGCCACTGACGTCATCGAGCGTCATGAAATGAGCGAAGTGATACCAGGCAGAGCAATGTTACCACTGTGGGCGGTGTGTTCGGCGTAGTAGAGATTATAGGCACTGTAAAAAAAACTGTCGAAGCTTGGGGTTAGTACACCATAGCGCTTCAGTGGTGGTGCACACTGGAACTCGTATCAAGAGTGGTACCCTGCTGGTACTGGTGAGAGACAAGACAACCTGCCTCATCAAAATGCCTGCTGTCAAATTACCCAGCAAACCATCTGCCTTTTCACTGGGCATAATCGTGGAAATGATGCTGCTCTTAGGCGCGTTCGTCAGCGGGCTGATAACTGCCGGAGCAGCAGGTGTAACGCAGGTAAGTACTGTCTTCCAACTCAACAGCACAATCGTGGCCCGAGTAATTAGGACTACATCGCCTTTTTGTTTTAATATCTGGACATTTCTGTTAGCCTAGTTACACGCAGTTCGTTCGTAATTGGGCCATAACTTGGGAATTCCCAATGTTGCTGGCCACACTGTTCCACGATGTTCTTTAATAAGTGTCGCTAGGTACAAGCCTTGCTATGTATTGTGTACATGGGGTCGTCAGCTGATTTTTACATGTTGAAGGTTGGTTTGGGTTGAATTCGGGGACAAGATATGCGTTGCATCCGAACTTTGGTTTTTAACGAATGTCTTGCCAATTTTTATAGGAGGGTCCAGTACTTGAGGCTATGAAATTTGGTTAATTACTGCAATAACAAACTGCACATGCCGTGCTGAGGGCGCGTGCGCAATAACGGGAGCATACCATGGGGGGTGATAAAAAGTTGGGTTCGGAAGAACTTCGGCGGATTCGAAAAAAAACATCATTAATTAAAACCACTCATATCTCCCCTCCTCCCTCAATAAAAAAAAGAGGTTAGCAAACCCTCATTGGCTATAAAGATCGAGAAATCATAATATGGACCGATGTCGCCTCTGACCCTCCACAAGTATTCTGACAATTACACCTTCCGGTTTACGAGCATCCCTACCTAACAGTTTCTGTAATATTTCCGATAAACATGACTTGTGTTCAAAAAGGACAGAGGAGCGTTTCCAGCTTGATTAGCGTTTCAGTGCACGCGTAAACTCCTGTTGAAGTAGCCCCGGAATTGATGCATTCTGTCAGCATCATTTTTCAAAAAGTCATTTTACTTCTGTTCTTCACCAGTCGAGATTTGACGGCCACTGTCCGCTGTCTGTGAGTGTAACGTGCGAATCAGTCGGTTCAACACAGCACGAGTACAAATTCCACTGGACCAACGATGGCCTATGTAATTTCTGCGTCAATCTGCAAATTGCCGGGGTGGTGGCGTCCTTCCTGTTCACCCTCTACCGGATCATCGTGCTGTGTTACAGAAAGTACAACATGTGAGTTCGCGCATGCGTTCATCCAGGCTGAGTTCGAGCATGTTGCCCAAGTTAACACAGTGAGCGTACCAACAGCCGAAGTGTGACCTGCTGACAATCGAGAGCATACACCATCCGTTACTGAGGGTCACACACGCGAGTGCACCCCTGAAGTCTCGGTGGGACATTCTCCTGTTTTCAGCAGTGAACCGCCACTGCGGCAGTGGTTCGTGGCGGCTCGTTTATGTTTGTTCAGGATGTTCTTTGATCGTATGCGCGCATCCATGACATGACATTTCAGTGTGCAGTGGCGTATTCAGCGCGAGGTGGGGTGGGGATGGGCAACCCCCAAACAGATTTTTTTCTTTTACAAGTACTTCATAGGTGAGTTAGACAAAATGTAATCGGTATATTTGTTTATCAAATATTAGCGCCAAAACCCAAAGAAAACAACACCAGTGAATAAAAGCAAGGATTTCGGAACTGTAAGTAAGGCTGTTGGTTTTTTTCTCCCCAGCATCATGTTGAATGAGCCCGAAGCCGCATTCTCTTTTGAATTCCCCCCCCCTAAATTTCGATACGCCACTACCAGTATGGGGATTCGGTCAAGTACCAAGTTAGAGATTGAAATAGTGCTGTCTTTCGTCGATGAGTTGTGATCCATTACCAACAGTCTCTGGTATCTTGCACCAAGACACGGTTTACATTTGAGAAGTTGTGTATATATAAAGAATTTTCTGTCATTCTGCCTTGTCCGTCGTCTATTTGAATTTAGAATTCCGAGGTAATAGCTTGCTGAGTTCCCTTCATTCTTGGTAAAGCTGGATTACATTTGGACGTGTAAATAATTATGTGGATGCTCAAAGCGAATTTCACGCCACCTTTGACAACCTTGTGTCATCCTTATTTAACCACAACACAAAAGCGTAAATCATCACTTGGATGAAGTAGTCTGGCGACTCATTGCAACACTGAATTTTGATATATGGGTTAAGAGAAAAAGAGAACTAGGCGAGCGGTAACTCTTTTCAAGAAGGAAGCAGTGGAATTAATCCTGTTGGTTCATTCCCTTTTTACAGTGTGTTCAAAATTCAGATTTTGATACCAACATCTGAGCTTNAGGGTCACACACGCACACAAGTGTGCACCCCTGAAGTCTCGGTGGGACATTCTCCTGTTTTCAGCAGTGAACCGCCACTGCGGCAGCGGTTCGTGGCGGCTCGTTTATGTTTGTTCAGGATGTTCGTCGATCGTGTGCGCGCATCCATGACATGACATTTCAGTGTGCAGTGGCGTATTCAGCGCGGGGTGGGGTGGGGATTCGCTTTTGAATTTGTCCCCCCGGTCAAGTACCAAGTTAGAGATTGAAATAGTGCTGTCTTTCGTCGATGAGTTGTGATCCATTACCGACAGTCTCTGGTATCTTGCACCAAGACAAGGTTTACATTTGAGAGGTTGTTTAAATATAAAGAATTTTCTGTCATTCTGCCTTGTCTGTCGTCTATTTGAATTTAGTATTCCGAGGTAATAGCTTGCTGAGTTCCCTTCATTCTTGGTAAAGCTGGATTACACTTGGACGTGTGAATAATTATGTGGATGCTCAAAGCGAATTTCACGCCACCTTTGCCAACCTTGTGTCATCCTTATTTAACCATACACAAAAGCTTAAATCATCACTTGGATGAAGTAGTCTGGCGACTCATTGCAACACTGAATTTTGATATATGGGTTAAGAGAAAAAGAGAACTAGGCGAGCGGTAACTCTTTTCGAGAAGGAAGCAGTGGAATTAATCCTGTAGGTTCATTCCTTTTTTACAGTGCGTTCAAAATTCAGATTTTGATACCAACATCTGAGCTCAACTGACTTGCTTTCTAATGAAATGCCATACCACGTTCCAACTCATTCTCATGGAGTTTTGACAAGAAACAAGACAAACAGTTCAATAAATATTTAAACATTCAATGCAGCGTCCGGACAGGTGCAGGAAACAAACAAAAACTGGGAAAACTAAACTTAAAAACAAAAACTTTTAAAAAGGCCAACGGGTACAATTGGTTGTAGAAAGCATGCAAAGACGCAGGTTCCTTTTCATTTGCGTGCAGAACTTTACCATGCATTGTGCCTAGATCACCCAAACCGTGATCCAAAGCAACGGGTTGGCCTCCTTTGTGTTACAGAGGCATTTTGCGCATCGTCACCACGGGAGCGTTCTCCATCTACACCATCCTGGTCCTCGCAGACGCTGCCCTCATCACTAGTGGCTTCAATTCCTTCTGCAACAGTCTCATATCGGCCTGCACAGTACACAGCGACAAATCGTGAGTGTACACTTTGGGGGTTTTGTCGTATAAAATTTCGTATGGAGTTTTCAATTTTCTGTAGGGTTGTGCACAAACATAGATGCACTCAGCAGCCTTCATTTTGCATAGCAGGTTAGCGCTCCATACTGTAGCACATACATGTATATCTAATAAGCCATGTGTGGTATCTGCGCTTTATAGACACCAGGTAACATCGCAGTGTACACAATTTAAACCTTCATCGTATTAAGAAAGAGAGCACGTGTCAGGTCCTGAGAGCCATTTTGTCCATATGAAGTAAGATATGGGACGGAGAGCACCCCCACCTTTTTGTGTTGGTCATTGTTTGATCAGAATCTCAGGAATTCCTTACAGACATCGAGGGAAATGTGTAAGGCAACATTAGTCTGGAGTGTGTATAGGGATTGGATATGTAAAGGGGGGTACCCCTCCGTCCCTTATCTCGCTGGATATAATTTTGGCGGGAGATTGTGTGCCCAGAATCGATTTGTCCAAGGTCCCATCTCTGTGGTCCAACTACAACCAGGCATGCGTGCCTTTACACTTGCACCAAATTACCGGTTCTTTCGCATTTACATATCGGCTCTGATTTCTCTCTGCAGGTGTTTCGACTTTCAAACATTTCTAAACTGGAGCATAATCAAAGTTGATGGTTCGAGTTTCTACTCCACTTTGAGAATAGCTGAGGTAAACGCGATTTCGTATAATGGGGAGTGCGAGTTTAGGCTTTTGACGTTTAATCTTGCAGGAAGTTTCAACTAGCAAATAAGTGTAAATGAAAAGCGATTTCCATGCCAACCAAAACTTTACAACATGTTACATGTTTTTATATTACCCTATGATACGTCCTGAGGGCTAAAACATCAAACCTGCGTTTGCTAGGCTATGCAGGGTTGCATTTTTGCTGTGCCGGCAAAAACGTTTGTTTTCATTTGTTTGAGTCAAATAAGATTAACTGAAAAATTGTTCATCTGAAATCTGTAACTTTTAGTTTTGTCTCGTTCACTTGATCGGTTGCCTTCGCTCAATCCCTCTTCACGGAAGGTCGCAGCATGGATTTCCGTTCTGTTTTGGGTCGCCCTTTCCATCTGGAACATCGTGCTCTTTGTGTCAGCCAGGCGAGCCAACCGACAAATGGTGCTGCCGCCAAGCAGCTCGAGTCTTACCACCGCCGCCCCCACCGCTGTCAATAAACCACTGTGAAGCAACATAGCCTAGTATGGGACAGTGGCCTCTGATTTGGTTGAATGCACTCATCGGTTCTTCATCAAGGCTTCGCCAGGCTGTCGCACCCCTGGGGCATGCCTTTCCCTGCGGTGGTGCTGATAGTAACAATTCTTAGGAGTGGCAAACTCTCTCGTGCCATCGGGGCTTGAATGACTTCACCAAACCCCGACACAGCGCAGGGCATTGGTGGAGAAAAGAACTGATGAGTGCATATATACTTGTAAATGTAATACCACAAATTTTCTTTTGTATCGCGTAGTTGGTGATTTCTTTCCAACTTGTGTTATGTTCGGATTGTATTACATCTCGCATACAATTCTCCGACCGTGGTTTCGCTAATGCCGCTGAGTAAGATGTTATATGCTGTATAAACTTAATCACCTATGCAAAACTTTGGAATGTAGTTTGGTTGCCGCTGTGTTGTCACAAGGAACTGGTTCTGTCCTGTCCCATAAACACTTATTCAAAAACAAGCATTAAAGGGCTACGTTATGGAGGCATCAGACTATTTCGCATCTAGGTATAGACTAATCCGATTAGACGCCATAACTGCAGTGGCACGGCACTCGCACGCACATTCTTTAGCTTGACGCGCGGAAACATGTGGCAAATCACGACATCCTATTGGTCGAAGAGGCATGTAACGCGCGCGTACCACCTGTCCACGAGCGTTGTGCCACCGCGGTGATGGCTTCTAATTCTGGTGGTCGAATTACACTATACACTATTGTTTTGATGTCATGTATTATAGTTGCGTGCAAAAATGCAGTGCTGAAACTATTGTTTTTAAAATAATTGCTTGACTTATGTCTTTTGTACAGTCTTTAAATCGTACTAATAGGAAAAAACGTTCAGATTTAGATGGTTATAATACTGCATGTAAATAGTGAGGCTTAAGAAATGTTTTATAGCTTTAAAGTGCTGTTTGCATGTGCCCGTAGCCAACACGCTAATATCATGGCATTACTTGTCCATTAATTAAGCAATCTCGTGTTTGCCTCGTTATCGCTAAGAATACTTTCTTTATAAGACCTTGTGTAATAATTGACCGATGACTCACTTCGCTACTGTTTTGTGACTTTTTAAATCGCAGATGTACTGATCAGAAGAAGAAACAATTTAACTCGTACCAAACACATTTCTTTACCTACTAAGGTAGGCAAGTTAGCTGGACAAATCATTTTTTAAATTCATTTCTGTTGGGTCCACGAACACCATAAAGACGCTAAAGCAGGCTGTTACGTAAGGCGATACCATAATAGATCAGTATTTTCTGTCCTGGTTCGATCTGGGGCTATTCCCTGTAGAAGCCTCGCTAGTTATAAACAGAGGTGAGCATAATCAGATCAGGTGCTGAAGGGATGAGACACATGCGCTACATCTTCAAAAGAGCGTCTACAACAAAAACGTGTGAGATGCGCGCCTTGCATATGATGCAAGATATGGGGCGGAGACAACCTCTCCCCCGCCTTTGTGTTGGTCATTGTTTGGTCGGAATCTCATGAATTCTTTACAGACTCCTGGGGGTGTTACGTAACAATAGTCTAGAGCGTGTATAGGGATTGGACAGGTGGGGGGTACCCATCGGCCCCACATCGAGCACGATATTGCGCCTTGGGACATCCTCGTGGACACATGCCTTGTTAAAATCGGTCATGGCTTGCAAAAGGGACTTGCTTTTTGAATTGCGGAAATCTAGAGACCCCGTTTTTCCATGGGGTAAAATATTTTATTTAGCCAGAAAATTGCAATGCTTCGTAAACATATAACTTATCAAACTACAGGCAGCAGAACCGTGTAAACATGTCATATATTCAGGCAGCTGAACCAATTAAAATGTTTTCAAGTTTAATAGCTGAGTTTCATTTATTTCAACCTTATTCATCAGTCTGTAGATTTTGGATTGTAGATAAACTAAATCAGATCATGTAAAATCAGTCAGTGGATGTAAGGCCCTGAATGTGCAGTACCAAACTTCAAGGTACAATATAATTCAAACGTCGACAGGTTACAATTGCTGTAAACAGTTTTTTCTGATTGAGTGCTACTTTTCACAAATAAATGTAAAGAACCCAACTATGCTACGACCCTTCTCCCGAGAATATAAGTCTTGCAGTTCTGTTCTAGGGTGAGAATATCCTGGTATATTTCGGCAGAGATGTAGCCGAGGAAGCTGTCGACCTCCGGGTACAGGTCCCTGATCGTCGTCAACCGCGCCAAGACCCGCAGGAGCTTCCAGTCGGGCAGCGGATAGGACAGGGCGGTCTGCCGGTAGCGGTTGGACAGTAAGATGAGCTGACCGTGCACCGGCTGCGGGCGCAGGTTGTCCAGCGTGATCTGCGTCCGGGCGCTGGCTGCGTCGTCGCAGGGATAGCTGCTGCGCTCGGAGAGGGTGACGGCGTCTGCCGCCCTCCCCGACAGCGACGGGGCGGCCAGGTGTACAAACCACCCCCACGTCAAAACCGTCGCCATGACGCCGAGGCTCACTTTTGAATGGCCCATAGTTGCTGGAGTCCCTGGAATCAAAGTGTAAGAAAGTTATTTTCAGTGCCCCTACCGAAAAAAAGATATTGTACGACACGGCCTTTGATAGTCACGATACATGCGACCGAGATCTTGAGACCAATGTTCCCTCTCACATGTAGATGGCACTCAGTGACTTCATCCATCGATCTCGACGCGCTACCCAGTCGGTATATGGAGAGTAGTAAGTGAACGATGCAAAATATTTCACGGCACAGTCGTCGGGGAAAATTTTAGATAAGCCTGAAATGTATTAGGCGGTTTCGTGAAAATATTTATTTTCCACTCACCCAATTGCCAACTGTGATGTCTTTCTCAGATGTTCAGTAGAGATGCGTTTAATACTGCCGGGACATCCAACCCGAGAGTAAAGGTTTCAGCCGGGAGTTTACGCCCAACTGGAGCAGCATTTCAGAATTCCAACCCTTTTAAGTCACCAAGTTTATTTCGTAATTCCAATTAAGTATCGAATAACAAAGACCCAAGACCGATCACAATATAGGCATCGATTAGAGCAGACCAGATTACAGTCCTCGCATACTGCAAATTCATGTGATTCAAAAGGAACAAATCTTGCTGGGGGGGTTAGCTTTGGTTTTCTGCTGCCGACCTTATAAATCGAGCCGAAACAGTGGTAGCTTTTACAGTGGTATCATTTTCCCTGTCTGTTGAAATACTGTGTTTGTTCGTTTCGAACGATTCGCTGGTTGCTTGAGTTGTTTCAAGTAAGCACTCGATAAAAGTCGGTAATCGATAAAGACGTAATCGAATCCGCGCTTTTCATTTTATGAGATGGAGAGAGCGATGGAATCTGTGAGGCAATTTTCTTTTTCGTGGTCCCCATTCCATTGCGGGTTTCTATTTTTAAAATTTATCTTCCTTCTTCAAACATTTATTGTGTTTAGGCCTCAATTATTAAATATTGCTCCAGTACTCGATTCCATACCTTATATCTTTCAGAATTACCGAAGAGCACAAAGCTTTGGGTCTATTTGTGAGCCTCTGTGGCCTGCTGGTAAAAACATATGCAGTCATACATTGCCATCGTAGCAGCTGCTGTTGCGCATACGTTTCAGAAAATATTGACCAAACAATACTTACATAAATCCCCGTCATCTGATTGGTGGGTTGTTGATCACTTGTCATTGACTTACTTGCTCTATTCAACGGTACTCTTTGCGCGGGTACTATGTGGGTGGCGCTTCGGAATCTCTTTGGCAAATGATGAGGAATTTTAATAAGTGAGCGGGACCTATTTCTTCTCCTAACACACGAGGCTTCATGCGGGTACCGTTTAAAAAAATAAGGAATGTTTCACATTCGTACAACGGCTTGAATAATTCTATGAAGTGACAATACAATTCCAAGAGGCAAATCTGAATGGGACAGAACATGACATTTTGATTGTTTCATAGCGGTTATTTTCCTTTTCGGCCTCATCAGTGTAAACGAATGGGTCCAGACATTAAAGACGACCGTTCCTTTCTTTTTGGGAAATATAGTCGATTGCCACCGTTAAATTAAACGCAGCATAAGCAGCAACATATTACAGTGCACTAATTGCTGATGAATGGGCTGATAAACCGAAACCGAAACTGAAATTGCGGGTTAACTTCTGGTTCCATCGTCTCAAGTAAACGGCGATCGATGCATGTAACTCTATGTGCAGTGCATGTGCAGTGGGCGTGGTTTAAACTGAAGTGACTTTGGGGTCAAGTATTACGCTCAGAGTCCACGTTAAGGCGTGGCATGGCATAGACTCATCTGCACGTAGCTTTGTTCTGCATGCACACGCAGCAACATGTTCTGTAGGCCTTTGTGTAGTGTACGATGCAGGGGGACGACGAGCAGTCCAAACGGCTGAGAGAGAATTGTTTCAGTGCCCGGGTACAGTGACCGTGGTATTACGGCAAAACGAGCCTGACTTCTTTTAGCCGGCCACTCCAGAGATATTACATGCCCAAGACGATATAACCTTGTTTCATCACTGGTCTGTCGTGATCCTTAAGCTGAAGAGTGATGCCTGCCACAGCGACCATCGTCAACATCGTGGAGGTCGCCGTTCTGTTGGTGGCTTTCGGATGTGGAATGGCGGCATCCATAATGATTGGGGTAACTTCGGTAAGTGTTTGGCTAGCAGGAGGAATTGGTGGCGTGGATTGGTCGTGATGAGTTGGGGCTGGGGGTGGAGTATGACCGATGAGGGTGAAGAGGGGCAGGAAATCACTTGACACCACTACGATTGGTGTCCCGAAGACACCCTTAATTAATAAAATTCGCCACCATGGAATCTGACGGTGCATTTTCATGCCCCTTTGCTTCCGCTCATCCGCATGAAAACTGTAGAGTTTAATTTTATGGGGCAGCACGCACATCCGGGAGTTTAAAAAAACTGGGTAGCAACCGCACCGCGCCTATGAAAATAACTGGAATGAGCGCGCGCGTAAGTACTGATCACAGAAAAGATTATAAGTCACTGGTCTTCATTTTAATGGAAATCAATGGTGTAACCCGATCCTGGGACTGGCTGGTGCGCGCGTACGTCGCTGTTTTCACTTGCGCGGCGCGCGGTACCTGCCATTTTGCAAGAATTTCTGATGTCCGCACTGCCCCATTGAATGAACACAAAATGGAACAACACAGAAAACAAGGAATTGAGTCTAGGTTTTATTATACAGTACGGGAGAGGGAGTTTTACAATTCGGCTGAGTGTTTCAACCTTCTGCTTACAAATAGCTCGAACAATTATTAACACTGAGTGCATCACTAACGAGTCAATTACAAACTTCAGTGGAAAAAGGGACAGAGTGATTCTCCGAGAAAGTAAGGCAAAATAGGCCTAAATAGTAATCAATATTAAATTTCAGCAATTTGTGTAAGCTAAGATTGAACTGTATACCGGTAGGAAACAATGTGTACGCGGTATGAATGACTTCAATTCAAAGCTGGGGCGTAAAGTTTTGCTGCAAACTGGAGGGATGGGGAAAGGGGGGAGACTTGTCAGCCCCCCCCCCCAAAAAAAAAACATGAAAACGGGGGGGGGCACCATAATATAGAGGCCTTCGGCCGTCGCTCATTTTGAGTATGACGCTGGCGACGTTTTCCATGTGAGTATAGTCCAATTCTGTGGGCGCAGGTTCTTCCGCAAAAGCGGCACTTGGGAAGGTATCCTCCCTGCTGGTAGCTGGTAGGGTCGGTCCTGCTGGCTAGGCGGCGACTGCGCTCAAGGCTTTCGGTCTGCAGTCGGTTTTCCACTTCCCTTGAGTTGGTAATTCGGCGTCGCCACTCTGAGCGGTTATTGGCAGCAGCCTCCCATGTGACAGAGTCAATATTGCCGGCTAAAGGGTGGCGTTTGATACGGTCTCTGTAGCGCAGCTTTGGCCTGCTAACTCCTCTTCTGACTTCCTACAGCTCACCGTAGAGAACGGCTTTCGGGAGTCTAACGTCATCCATCCGGATGACGTGTCCGGTCAACCGCTGTTGACTATTTGTAGTGGTTCGACGCTGTCGGCACGTCTGCGGATTTCAGCGTTGGGGATCTCATCTTTCCAGCTGATGTGCAACAGTTGTCTTAGGTGCGCCATCTGTAGGTTTCGAATGAGTAGAGGAGGCAGCTCAGGACAACAGCTCGATAAACTATGCAGTTGTTGGCGAGTCGGATACCCCGACGTTTCCACACACGTGTTTGGGGTTTTCCAAACGTAGTGGATGCAGAGCTGACTCTCTTCTCCACTTCTTTATCAAGGCTGTTGTTGTCAGACACTGTGCTGCCAAGGTAGGTAAAATGCTTCACAACCTCGAGACGTTTGTTGTTCAGCATAATCTTTAGATCTGGTACATTTAAGCCCGGAGCTGGTTGGAACATAACCTCTGTTTTGGTTACGTTGATGGTAAGACCAAGGCTGCTGGCTGCTGTATTGAATGTGTCCAGCATACATTGCAGTTCTGCCTCTGAGTGTGAGACGCTGGCTGAGTCATCAGCTTAAAGGAGTAGGCCTAATCTGGCACAGACGGTCCTGGTTTTAGTTGCAGCCTTAGCCGCCTCAGATTGAACAGCTCACCATCACTGCGGGTTGTAGGTTAGTCTTGGTTCCAAGACGTTACTATCTGTAGCTGTGATGAACGCTTTAGCGCAGTAAATCTTGTCAATCAACAGAGGGCGCTATGTGACGGACGAGGTCTGTATTTGTTACTAGTATGCGCACAATAATCTTGCATAATCGGCTGTCACATAGCGCCCTCTGATAAATCGACAGCACACATACATATATATAGAGGTCAATGTTCATGGTATTGATGTACATCTGTAATATGTATTCAAATTGGCATATTTTAAGTCTTTTAAAAATTGTTTTTCCTCTTTCTGCGTCTCAGTCAGTGTTCCAAAAACTGGTTCGCTTTCTGTTGACAACCGTCTTGGTCACATGACGACGTCGATGGCAGCTGTTTTTATTTTTTTTCTCAATCTCATTTTCGCTGCAGACTCAGATGGGCGGCTGTGTTCTCAAGGCTTCCGTCACTCTATTCGACCCCACACATTTTACACTCTCATACTCTAGCCAATCCCGTTGCCAGTTCTGTCTGGCGGCGCAGGTGATTGGTATTCTGCTGGCGCTGGTGTTCATGGCGTATCGGATCCAGGTCATCTGCCGGGGAAAGTTGGAAATGTAAGAATGTCAAAAAGTACAAAAAAGGGAACAAGCAAAACTCTGTGTCGAGAACTGCACTCACAACGCACAATACCACTTAACACTTGTTTGCAGAGAGTAATAAGGCAGCACCCCGTAGTTAGGAGAAGCCGCCATGCAGATAGCAAAAATGGGAATATTCCAAACTGCAATTAATTTTCGGGAAGAAAACACTCCCGAAAATGGGAAGATATAGAGACATTTCACGTAAATATCAGACATATTTGTCAACGTTACAAGAAAAAATACTTTGTAGGATGAAAGGACCCGGGGTGCAAGTAAACAGCATAGCCTTTTCAAATCCATACATCGCCCGTTGCCATGGAACAGCTCGTTTAGTGTTGTCCAGACATTTTAGGCCGACTTAGGGTTCTTCAAAGCTGGATTTTAGCTTATGTTTTAAAAGTCCACCCAACCAAAGTGCAAGAATATTTGACACATCCACTTATTTCGCTTTGAAGTATCAGCCTTGCCTCTACTAATGGAGGAAGGACACAGGAAGAGTTACAACTCTGGCACATCAAAGTACTCGATGATCATCGCCGCCCAGTAAGACGAACAATAGTAAACATTCCAAAAATTCCTGAATACTGCCTGCAGCCTAGCCAGAAAAGCGGGGCCAGTAATATCGTAGGAATATTTGTAGTGTTTTCTTTGCAATTATAACTAAAACTTATCGCAGTGACCAGGAAATAGAAAGAATAAATATCTAACATTAGATTCACTTTTACTGTCGTGAATAATTTTATTAAAGAGTTTGATGCACTTTTCCATTATCCATTCAGTGTTAAAATTTCGTTTTGTCACTCCAAAACATCAGTTTTTAAAGTCTTTGTACGAATTTGGCTAAGACTGGACAACAACATGTTGACTACTATAGGACAGTTAAGTTCATAGATGACAAAGTGCGCTGTTTCATCACAGGGAGTGATCATGAGATCTCATAAAATACCTTTTTAAGTAAATACCGCAATGAAAATGATAAAAATAAAACACAATGTCTCATTTAAAAAATTGGCTATTTATTACCAAATTAAGTTCAGAAAAAAAGCGTTCGATAAGGGCTATAACTGCACATGAACACAGCCTGCACACGGGTACACAGCCTAATACAAGCAACTGCGCAAGCATTAAATTTGAAGTTGTCAGGTCATACCAAGCACCATCGATGGCATAAATATTCAACTTCCTATTATACCCAGCAAGATATGGGATGGAGGGGGTACCCCCTCCCCACATGTCCAATCCCTATACAAACTCTGGACTATTGTTACCTAACACATCCCCCTAGATGTCTGTAAAGAATTCCCGAGATTCCGATCAAACAATGACCAACACAAAGGTGGAGGGTTGCTCTCAGTCCCATTGCTTGCTTCATATGCAAAGCGGGGCCCATGGTCATGAAACAGGTGGTGCGTAGCAAGCCTCCGCTGAGCTCGGGCTATGAACATATCAGACATGTCAGAAAGCGGTAATTGGCCAGGTGTTATACTATAGCCCGGGCAGTTCAAACCTCTTTTGCGTCCTTCCTCCATGCTCTGCTTGAGTGGCGACTATGCTTTATAAAGAAGCTGGGGCCAATTTCATAGAGCTGCTTAAGCACAAAATCTGCTTAAGCGGGAAAAAACGTTACTTAATAAACAAAGGTTGCCAGCTCAAACTCTATCTGATTGTCATGCTAACCAAAAAACATCTAAATACAATCTCAAAACAATATACATCACATGGAGTTAGTTGGCTGGTTACCTGATTTATCAAGTAAGGTTTTTCGCGCTTAAGCAAATTTTGTGCTTAAGCAGCTCTATGAAATTACTGTCTTTAGTGGATTTGGTCTGCACTTCCATTTATCAACCCCCGGGTATTTAAATCTCATTTCCTGCCGATCTCGATCCAGCCAAGCGTTCGGCCGGTTCGTTGCCACCATCGTCTTTGGTGTCATGGCCTTCCTCGTCCTTGTGGAGGCGTGTCTGGTGACGGTCGGGCTGAAGACATTTTGCAATAATCTGCTGGACTTGGAAGGCGCTGTTTGGCCCGATACGTGAGTATCACCTCACGACAGTCTTTATGTATGACCATCTTTCATAGAGAAAGTGTGGTGTCTGTAGTATCTGTCATCCATCATCCACTGCATTCCCGAAGACTGGATACCAGACGTTTTGGGCATTTTTCATGATATTGTGGTCGTGTTAAAATATTCTAAATAACGGAACACTTTATATAAAAGCTTTTTTATCAAAGACCTAAGACACACATTCTTGACTTGAAGGTAATTATTTGCTTTTTGAGGTTGTAGATTTGAATCACTTACATGTGAATCTTTCAGCTTTCTTTTATCTTTTAACCCTGACGTGCAAAGTCTGGTATCTAATACGGCCACGTGCGTCATCAATGTGTATAGCGCTTTGATGCCCCATTTGGTTTTGCTGGTCAGGAGCAACATGTAGTTCACATCGTGACTTTTTTGATACCGTGCACGATA